CACTTTCAGTTTGGCCAAAATAAACTTCTTTTTTTATTCCCAAGGGCAGATTTACGTGTGTGAAATACGCAGCTGCTGTTTTACTTTATCAGCTAATATATGATAGACTATTTAGAAGCCAAAGATTTTTCAAGTGTATGAAAAGGAAATGGTTTTGAAAAGAGAACATGAGATTTATAATCTTTCAGAAATAGCATTTGGGGAGTCAGTGAAGATAAGATTAAGTAGAGAAACATGCAACTCTTTACAAAACCACCACATAGATTTTTATGGATGGGAAACTCAATTTGTTTGGTCATTCACCAGTGCTCTAAGTATACTGTTTTGTTTAATAGAAAGATAAAAAGGCCAAATTCAGGTCAAAGGAAATACTATGACCATTTATGCAACATTCATTTCCACAATCTAGTCAAGGGTCAGCATGCTCCAAAGGAAGGGAGGCTTAAGAATGAATGCATGAAATCTTTATTTTAAGTGTCCTGTTTGACTTAACATAAAAATAATAGCATGCCAGGAGAAACATCAACAACCTCAGATATGCAAGTGATAACCACTCTAATGGCAGAAAGCAAGGAGGAACTAAAGAGCCTCTTGATGAGGGTAAAAAAAGAGGAGCGTGAAAAAGCCAGCTTAAAACTCAGTATTAAAAAAAATCTAAGATCATGGCATCCAGCCCCATCACTTCACGGCAAATAGAAGAGGAAAAGGTGGAAGCAGTGACAAATTTCCTCTTCTTGGGCTCTAAAATCACTGCAGAGTGTAACTGCAGGCTTGAAATTAGAAAGAGACTGCTTCTTGGAAGGAAAGCTATGAAAAACCTAGAGAGTATATTAAAAAGTAAAGACATAACTTTGCCAACAACAGTCTGTATAGTCAAGGCTATGGTCTTTCCAGTAGTCATGTACAGATGTGAGAGCTGGACCATAAAGAAGGCTGAGTGCCCAAATCTTGATGCTTTCAAACTGTGGTGCTGGAGAAGACTCTTGAGAGTCCTCTGGACAGCAAAGAAATCAAACCAGTCTATCCTAAAGGAACTCTATCCTGAATATTCATTGGAAGGACTGATGCTGAAGCTGAAGCTCCAGTATTTTGGCCACCTGATGTGAAGAGCTAACTCATTGGAAAAGACCCGGATGCTGGGAAAAATTGAAGGTGGAAAGAGAAGAGGGTGACAGAGGATGAGATGGTTGGATGGCATCACCAACTCAGTGGACATGAACTTGGGCAAACTCTGAGAAATGGTGAGGGACAGGGCAGCCTAGTGTACTGCAGTCCATGGGATCGCAAAGAGTTGGACACGACTTGGGGACTGAACAACAATAGCATGCCATGTGAACAAGCAAGAAAAAGTGAAAGTACTATGTTTGTTCTATTAGAAATGGATTGTGACCAAAAAAAAAAAAAATCACTGCACTGTATTGTTAGACAGCCCTAAAATCATTCTCCATAGTGCAGAGAAAAAAAATCAGGAGAAAAATTTTTTGGAAGTACTGTTTAAGCATTCCCACATACAGGACAATTCATTCCTGAAATGTCATATAAACGGTTTCCATATAAAGAGAGAGAACAACCAAAAGTGCTGAAGTACAGGGATAAAAAGGCAGCCACGGTGATAGTCCATACATTTTTATTTTTTTGATAGTCCATACATTTATGGAGACAAGATTATAGAATCATAATTAACCTTTTCTCCCTGACGTTGCCTACTCATCTTTTTTCCTTTTACCACAGTTAAACTGTTGTTGAACTTGCATTGGAAATACGCTCCTTCCTGCTATCTCATGATTAACAAAAAGAATCCCAAGCAACCCCAAAAACAAGAAACAAGGCTTGTGTTTTTGAGGCAGAGGATACAAATATAGAATGGTACATGAAGGTTGCAGCAGGTGTTCTGCACCTAATCCAGGGATACCATGTCATCTAAGATGAGGAAAAAAAAAGAGCTATCATCCAGACATCCCTGGCTCACTTTTTCAGGAGGGTAGATAGAATTGAATCCAGCAAGGAACCACAACCTGCACCATCAATGCCAAGTGTGAACGAAACTGTAGCTTGCCCTCTGTCTCCTATTCCTAATGATCTTTCAGCTCTACCATCTCCCACTTCCTTTCCCTTCTTCAGTCAGGTATTTGAAAAAACATTATTCTAGGTATTTTCATAAAGGCGTTTTGGGATCAATTTTAAATTTAAATTGATCTGAAAAAAAAGCATATTGCCCTCTCTAAAGTGGGTGGGCCCCATCCAATCTGTTCAAGGCCTGACTAGAACTGGAGGCTGACTCTGCCCCTAATAAGAAGGAATTCTTCCTGTTTGCCTGACTTGAGCTAAGGCATCAGTTTTATTCCTTCCTTCAGGTTCAAGTTGAAATATCAACTTTATGGGTCTCAAACCTGCCAGTTTTGGGCCTGGAATCACAGTATCAGCTCTCCATCACACCCAAGCCTGCATGTCTCCAGCTTACCAACAGCAGCCTCCATAATTGTATGAGCCAATTATTCATAATAAGTCAGTATTTCTCCCTCTCTTTCTCTCTCTCTCTCTATATATATACATGTGTATTTCAAATCATAAAATCAAAATGACATATATATGTAATATATAAGTATATACCATAAATATAATATATACTATAAGGATAATGTTGTTCAGTCATTCAGTCATGCCCAACCCTATGGATGCAACACACCAGGCTTCCATGTCCTTCACCATCTCTCAGAGCTTGCTCACACTCATGTCCATTGAGTCAGTGATGCCATCCAACTATCTTATCCTCTGTAATATATATATGTGTGTATATATATATATAATATAATGTATATGTAATATACAAGTATATGCTATAAACATAAGCATAATATTATATAATATATAGCATAATTATATTAATATAATATATAATATATTATATATTATAATATAAATATATAATTTAGAATATATAATATATTATAAATATATTTTATAATATAAACATATAGTATAATATATAAAATTTTATTTATATATAATATATATAAATTTATATATAATTTTATTTATATGTAGTATAATATAAATATAAAGTATAATATAAATATAGAATATAACAAATAATATACAAATAATATAAAATATGTAGTCTGACACCCAGGTCTGTGTCCCTCACTCCACCATACAATTCTTCTGAGAAGTAACACATCTTGTTTTGAAAAAAATAAGGGAGATAAGAACAAGAAAAATCCATGTCTTTCAATACTGACAGATGAATTACTTAATCAAAAGCAAAAAAACTCTCTAGAAAATGAGATACCAAGCCCATTTCTCACTGAGGCACACAAAGAAAACAGGGATGCTTTTCAGACCATGATGAAGAATTGTGGCATCTCACAGTGATTATTTTCCCAAATTAACTGTAATGGTTTAGCTGCTAAGTCGTGTCCAACTCTTGTGACCCCATAAACTATAGCCTACCAGGCTTCTCTGTCCACGGGATTTCCCAGGCAAGAATACTGGAGTGGGTTGCCATTTCCTTCTCCAGGGGGTCCTCCTGACCCAGGAATTGAACCAGGGTCTCCTGCATTGTAGGCAGATTGTGCACCCAGACTTCTGCATTGCAGGCCAATTCTTTACTGACTGAGCTATGAAGTCCCCATCAACTGTGATGGGAAATTAATACTTTAACAAAAAAGTTTGCACCAGGAATTCTTAGCAGCTTTACAGCAAAATGAAGAAATAAGAACTTAATGTTCCTCCAAGCTCTGCTTCGATTTGCTGGAAAATCAAATGGCAGGGACTATGACAGCTTCTGTGTTTATACAAGAAGAAGAAGTAGGAAGTAATTAATAAGTAGTATTACAATGATCATGGACCTAACATTCCAGGTGCCTATGCAATATTGCTCTTTGTAGGATCAGACCATCACCAGTCACATCCACAACTGGGTGCTGTTTTCTCTTTGACTCTGTCTCTTCATTCTTTCTGGAGTTATTTCCCCACTCTTCTCCAGTAGCATACTGGGCACTTACTGACCTGGGGAGTTCATCTTTCAGTGTCATATCTTTCTGTCTTTTCATATTGTTCATGGGGTTCTCAAAGCAAGAATACTGAAGTGGTTTGCCATTCCCTTCTCCAGTGGAGCACGTTTTGTCAGAACTCTCCACTATGACCTGTCTGTCTTGGGAGGCCCTACACAGCATGGCTCATAGTTTCACTGAGTTAGAAAAGGACAGCATATTAAAAAGCAGAGACTTTACTTTGCCAGCAAAGGTCCATCTAGTCAAAGCTATGGTTTTTCCAGTACCTATGTATGGATGTGAGAGTTGGACTATAAAGATAGTTGAGTGCCAAAGAATTGATGCTTTTGAACTTCAAGATTCATCATGTTGATGAACATAGTTCAAAATGTTCAATGGTGAACATTTTGAACATCGAAGTTCTTCTTCATCAGTGTTGAAGAAGACGCTTGAAGGCCCTTGGACTGCAAGGAGATCAAACCAGTCAATCCTAAAGGAAATAAGTCCTGAATATTCATTGGAAAGACTGATGCTGAAACTGAAACTCCAAAACTTTGGCCACCTGATGCAAAGAACTGACTCATTGGAAAAGACCCTGATGCTGGGAAAGATTGAAGGCAGGAGGAAAAGGGGACAACAGAGGACAACATGGTCGGATGGCATCACTGACTTGATGGACACGAGTTTGAGTAAGCTCTGGGAGTTGGTGATGGACAGGGAAGCCTGGCATGCTGCAGTCCATGGGGTCACAAAGAGTCAGACATGACTGAGCAACTGAACTGAGCTGAAATATGGTCTTCTTATTCAGTGTTCACAGAGGCCTGAAGATCACCTAAAAGATAAACCCTCAGCTTCTTCCCACGGAGTTGACTATTTCAAAGTTTAGAGCTGTGAAGTTATGAAAGAGAGGAAGGAAGTGTAGATCCCCCCCACACACTTGCTCTGGCTCTTCAAAAGCAGAGCCATGGCCCTGGGACTCCAGATGCTTGTCTGAGGCTGCTCTGATGAATGGGAGCCTCACTTCTCGTCCTGGGAGACACCGCAGTGCCAGGTATCAGAAGAGGAAAGCAGCCTGTTAGAGGCATGTGCATGCACTTATTTGAGTCCCTGTTTCCAGTTCTTCAGGCTGTATACCTAGGAGTGGAATTTCTGGGTCACAAGGTAATTCTGTTGAACTTTTTGAGGAACTCATTCTGAGAATATTTGGAGCCAACGGTGAACTGAATCTAACCAAAGCTCAAACACAACCCAGACTCAGCTAAGTTACACAGTAGATGACTGACATGGCCATTACAATGCTGGCCCAACAGCAGAAGGGTATACACTTTACCAGACAGAATGATGATTTACTTATGGCATTATTTTCAGTAGGTTGTTTTTTGTTTGTTTGTTTCTGGCCACACCACATGGCTTGCGGGATCTTAGTTCCCCCAACCAGGGACCCAACTCAAGCCCTCAGCAGTGAAATCAGAGTCCTAACCACTGGACCACCAAAGAACTCCCTTGGTGTATTTTTGCAGCTGTGTTAAGATATAACTTGTTATTGTTCAGTTGCTCAGTCGTGTCCAACTCTGCGACTCCATGGACTGCAGGACAGCAGGCTTCCCTGTCCTTCACTATCTCACGGAGTCTGCTCAAACTCATGTTCATTGAGTCAGTGATGCCATCCAACCATCTCATCCTCTGTCACCCCTTCTCCTCCTACCTTCAATCTTTCCAAACATCAGGGTCCTTTCAATGAGTTGGCTTTTTGCATCAAGTATTGGCCAAAGCATTGGAGTTTCAGCTTCAGCATCAGTCCCTCCAATGAGTACAGGGTTGATTTCTTTTAGGATTACATGACTTAAAATTCACCCATTGTAAGTGCACAATTCAATCATGTCTATTCTAATAGAGCTGTGCAATCCTCATTACCAATCTTTGCATTCACCAACCCAGTTTTAGAATATTTTCATCAACTCTTCAAAATTTCCGCAAGCTCCTTTGCCGTCAAAGCTACTCCCAGCCCCAGGCAACCACACATCTGCTTTGTGTCTATGCTGCCCCTTTCTAGACATTTCACATATATGGAATCACAGTATAGGGAGATCATAATTTAGATAGTCTTTGGATCTGGTTCCCAAGTGTGTACATTTTTCTACCACTAGCTCAGATGTGCATTAAAGTGTAATATATCTTTACTTTCTCTCCAGCCAGCCCTGGCCCTGTAGGAGTGTAGGAAAATCCACTCTTGAACATCTTGGAGGACTTGAGTGGAGGCTCTCCTTTCGTGGGGTCATGAAACAATCCAAGAGGGCTTTTGGTATCCACTGGAGTTTGGGCCAGTTATTCTTCAGCCCACGTTAACTTGATCAGCCCATTGAGGCTCGTACCCTTGCCATCTACCATAAAGCTTCTACTAAGGAGAAGGCAGGTCGTTCTGCTAAGTAACTGAATAACTAACTCACAATAACTAATAATAACCAATAACTAATAATAACTAAATAACACTGGTTATTTCCAGTGACAAGCCTGGATTCCAGAACCTGCTGAATCTGTGAGATCAGTTTCCAGGGTCCAACAGATGCCTCATACAGCTGTGTCACTCCCAGAGCTGGCCATGGTCCTAATACTGTAGAGGTTGAGGCGTCACTCTGATGCTCAGGAGACGACCAGCCTCCACCCTCCTCCCACTCTGGGGGACTCACTCTTCCCCTCAACCGCCATGAAAGCCCCCCACCCCACCTGGGTTCTCTGCAATCTCCCTCCAGGACTCCTGGGATAGACGATGCATTTACTGGGATTGGGCTTTCTCTAAAGACAAGAGAAAGGTTGATCTTCCAAGAATCTTGCAAACACCCCCGTGACAGGAAACACAAAGTGATTAGCTGCCTTCTCCAAGCAAAAAGAAGGGGCACCGAAAGCATGAAACAAATGAGTATCTCACTAAATAGCCTACCACACTGCTTTGCATTCACCTACCACAAAACCACATCAGTGAACAGCGGAAAGCATATCATAATTTCAGTTTTCTTAGCCGCGCTTAGATTCTATCTACTCATGGAAGCATGAGAGAGGAAGAAGGCACCCCTCTGGACTACTCAGGCTAAGAAACAGAGTTGGTTCTAACCCCAGCAGTAAGAATAGCAACTTACATTGTGCATCAGGCATGGTTCTGTGTGTTTTACATGTATTATCCCTTAATCCTCACAGTGACATTAGGCAGTAAGCTCTGTATATCCAAATCCTTTATTTAAAGCCCTTGGCGCAAGCTGTTCCTGAATCCAGAATTTTTTGGACTTTACAAGGTAATAAGGCACATGTAATTTACATAATATAATTTCCCCAAGAGGGTCCAAAACAGATCTCATACAAACTAAATAAGGTGCCTTCAAAGAAACAATCATATCAAGTGGTGCAAATAAAGACAATAACTTTACATTGGTTTGGTTCAGTTTTGCCACCAAAAGAACTAAGGAAGGCATTTAATTCTCAGATCTTTGGAATTTTGGACCTGTATTAGAGGCCCCATTTTACAGATAGAGAATGAAGCACAGCAAGATTAGGTAGCTTGTCCAGGGTCACACAACTATGATGTGGTGGGAGTGCTCAATATTTCCAGAACAAGTGGGTCTGATCAGTTTCTCTACCAGAAACTCATCCACTCTCAACCTTCGCACTCCACAACTAGGGGCAGTCTTGTGTATGACACCGCCCCCCGCAACTGCCATCCCCCTGACCCATCCCATCCCCTCCCTGCCCCTTTAATGAGTATTAGATTCTCTGATACTCATTTTCTCTCTCCTTGGTGGTTTAGTTGCCAAGTTGTGTGGACTCTTGGGGAACCCATGGACAGTAGCCCACCAGGCTCTTCTGTCCATGTGATTTTCCTGGCAAGAATGCTGGAGTGGGTTGCCATTTCCTTCTCCAGGGGATCTTCCTCACCCAAGGATCGAACCTGGGATTCCTTCATTGCAGGCAGATTCTGTTTAAAATAACGGAAGTAAGGCAGTGGAGCTGACTCGCCCCTAACAAGCCCAGGAGGGACCGGCTGCAACTGGGTCTGGGGCAGGCCCTGATTTGCTTGTCCTCTGTACCTTGAGTGGGTTTCCCTGGTAGATCAGAGGGTAAAGCATTTGCCTGCAATGTGGGAGACCTAGGTTCAATCCCTCAGTCAGGAAGATCCCCTGGAGAAGGGAATGGCAAACCACTCTAGTATTCTTGCCTGGAGAATCCCATATACGGAAGAGCCTGGTAGGCTACAGTCCACAGGGTTTCAAAGAGTCTGACAGGACTGAGAGACTTTCTTTCTACCTTGAGCAGGGGGTTAAATCTCAGGGTGATGCTAAGGGCCGAGTAAAAAGAGCTGGCCTGAAGCAGGCTGTCTGAATAGAGGAGTTGAATCCTTCAGGATACCAGGAGAGGGCGCGTTTCCCCTTTTCCTATTTGGATTAGGGTTGTGTGTGTGGGTTTTTTTGTCTGTTTTGTTTTGGGTTTTGTTTTTGTTTTTGTTTTTGTTTTCCGTTTCTAACCAAAGAGCAGCTTCCATGTGCAACAACGTGCTTGGTATCCCGCTGATTTAAGCGGCGTCAGCCTTTTCATTCATAAATTAAGTTCTCTCTTGTGATGTCCTTCTTGGTCTTCGGGACAAATCTGCCCCCAGGCCCTCTCTCCCTTAATTTTTGTTTTCTTATCTTGCACGGGAGGCCTGTTACCGGGAGAGCCGGCCGCACTGGCTGGGAGACCCCGACCTTGGGATCAGACGCCTGTGTCTGCGCCCTTGCTAATCCCTTCTCGAAGTGCTTACTTTGCAAACCTGGGCGGCTCTCCCTCCCTCTGTGTCTTGTTTCCTCCCATTTCACTCTATAGTGTCCAGAGGCATCCACCCTCCTCTAGTTCAGTAAATCAGTACCACTGCTTTGCAGATGCAATCCAGGTTAATCCAGTAATCCCACCTGTCTGGAGCATTTGAAGCCAATGTCGACGGTTGGCCTGTTCCCCTGGCAACAAAAGCCTCAGAAACGTCCTGCTGGCTCTGTGTTTTTAATTAAAAGTCTGTTTTAAGGGCAAAATTGGGTGGAAAGCGGTGCGTGCTCAATTAACTGTATCTAAATGTAAGCCCTTTAACAAGAGGCTCATCTCCCTCTTTCGGTGGGATGCAGCGACCCCCTGTGGCTCGACTTCTAAAAGGACCTCCTTCGACGATGACAGATTGCTCACACTTCATTTACTTAACAGTTTGCTTTAATTAACCCCGTCCTTCACGGCCGTCACACTAACACCTTGGCGCAGTCTGCATTAACCCGGTTCGGGGCCTTGACCATGAGCGAGCCATGGGTTTGGGAGAATGTGGGCTGGTGGAGGAAAAAGGAGGGGCGGAGAGCTGGGGCGGGGCCTACGGGGGCGGCCTGCCGATGGGCGGGGCCTGGGCGGGCCTGAGGGCGGGGCCTGGGAAATTCCCGGGCGGAGGTGTGCAGGCTGCCGCGGCGGTCAGCTGAGCAGCGCTGGGCGGGGTCGCGAGGCCGCAAATCAACCTAAAGCTCACCAACCCCCGTCGCCGCCCCGGCCGGTCCCCCGCTTGGCGTTTGCGTCTGGGTCCGGAGCCCTCTCCCAGCGGGAATGATGCCCAGGAAGCAGTGACCCGAGGGAGGCCGGAGCCCGCGCGCCGGTGAGCCAGGGCAGGGGGCGGGCAGGGTCTCCCTTTCCGCCCTGGAAGCTGTTCCGAAGCCCTCTTCCCTGCGACCCGGAGCCGGTAGGGACGTGGGTGGCGAGGGGTGGGGCGTCTCCTCCAGTTGGACGGCGGCGCTCTCTAGGAGGGTTTCCAGGCCCTGGCGATCCTGACCTGGTGCCAAAGGGCAGCAGGGGCGTCCATCCCAAAGCGGCCTTCCCCCTTTTTTACCCGCCAGACTGGCCGCAGGTGACTTCCTCTGTAGGTCATGAAGGTGGTTTAAGGGTGACATCCTTGCACAGATTGGGGATGATTATACAGCCAGTTCCTCACTATAAGGGAAGGGGTTAAGGACACACCTTCGAAAGACGTAAAAACTAGCTCCACGAGACCACCCAGTACACTAAAGAGCCAGTGGCCGCTTTCTAAGGTGATGGGATTACTAAACAGCTGAAAGGAATCTTCATAAACCGTTGTGTCTCGGGGAGCTTGTGTGTGTGTTTGTGTGGGTAGGTATAGATACATACGTAGAAAACATGAATATTTGCTGAGGTGAGAACCCCAGAGGGGTTGTTTCTGTTGTGTAAGCTGTAGGCAGTAAGCACCACTAAGAGAAAATGTAACTCAGGCTCCAGCTAGGCTCCTCCCTCCACCAGAAAAACTGTTGTTGGAAATTGTGTGCCACAGAACTGCTTAAGGATGAAGTGGGAAACCGAAACTTTGAACATCAAAAGCCTAGGATCGATCTGGTTAAGCAAGAGGCACTATTAACAATGGGCTTCCCTGGTGGCTCCGTGGTAAAGAATCCTCCTGCAGTGCAGGAGATGCAGGTTTCTGGAGAAGGAAATGGCAACCCACTCCAGTATCCTTGCCTGGGAAATCCTAAACAACAGCAATTATTAACGGAAGAACCTCTCATGCTTCCTCCTTGCCTGGAGAGAAGAACAGGGGGGCCCTGGCCACCTCCCCCCACCCCAGGATAGCCCCAGTTTGGGAGGGGACTGGCCAGGTGTAGTATTTTTTTATTTTTTGGTAACTGACCACAAGTTGCATATTATGCTGTGTACTCTGACTGAACACCAAAAAAAAAAAAAAATCAAACGTTATTTTTGAAAGGAACTGGTCATTGTTTTACCTTCCCATGCGATCCCCCACCTTAGGTGGAGGCACAGAAGTCTTCTCTTCTCCAAGCCTCACTCTTTCTGAATTTTATAAAGACTTGGAGTGTTTGGTATGTTCTTTGGGATTTATGGAATAGTAAATTCAAAGGAAAAGAGGGAAATTAAACTGTTTTAAGTAAAATCTGTTTCACTCAGAAAGTAATTAAGTTTTCTTTTTCATTTTGACATGTGTATATGTGGGTTGAGTGATGAAATATGTGTTATGAAATGACACCCAGATACCTTTGTAGTGATATTTTTAAAATAGTACTGATTTTGAAAATAAGTTTAGTTCAAGAATCTGGAAACGAGTGCCATTGTAAAACTGTAGAAAAACTCGTAATACTAGTTATGTTGGATTTGTTGCCTACTGAGCAGAAAGTGTTTTACAAGTGTAAGGCTTTTACCTCGTAACACTTGATAGTTTCATTTGATTTCAACAAATGTTTACTGAGAGCCTGCTCTCAGTGTACCAGTCTCTAGGAAAAATAAAATAAACACCTCGACTTAGGTTTGATGGGAAAGTTGACTGGCATGGGATAATACAGTACTTTGCATAAAAGAACCAAGTGACTGGAATGTGTAAAGCACTGTTGGGTACTCAGAGGAAAGCATAGGTCTTTTTAGATAAGACATCTCTTTGAGCTGGACGTTAAACTGTCCAGTAGATGTTTGCCAGGGTAACAGCAAGTCTAGGCATCTTGAGAAAGGATAGAAAAGCAAAAGGCATGGAACTGTGAACTCTTTAGTGTGCCCCAGGCATGAGTGGTGTTGGTGACAGGAGATGGTACTGGTGGGTAAGTGGGGGCCAGACTCTGAAAGGCCGTGTTTGTTTTGCTCGGGAGCTGAAGCTCTGTCTGTATGGGAAGGGTGGAAGTAGGAGGATGCTCTTGTGTTGGGGAAGGAACCATGGAGGTAGTGGGGCTGCAATGGAAAGAGATGAGTCAGACCATGGAGGAGGCTATGTAAATTCACTCAGCATCTATTTGTTGAACCCCATATTCTGGGAATGTTCTAGGTGCTAGAGACAGTGCAGTGAACAGAAAAGACAAAAGCCCTTTCCTCTATGAAGGACAACATTGCTGTAGGCCAGATAAGACAAGAAGGACCTGACCTAAGCTGGTGGAGATTGAGAGGAAGTGGAAGTGACAGGACTGGGTGACCCTTTAGACTCAAGGGAAGAGGAGATAGGAGTCATCAAGTATAGCTCCTGCCCTGGGAGATGAGGCTAAGTCTTTTTCCATTTCCATGTCCAAAAGTCAGACTACCATTTCTGGCATAAAAGCCAAGGCCTCTTTTGCCCCTTAATAGGATGTGTACTTTTGAGTTTGTTTTTCTGGGATTGTGATGAATTTTGTTGGTGCAATCTTGGAATGTTACTCAACCCCCTTGAAAAACCAAGCCAAAATTTGCCAACAGCCAACTATTCTCTATGGTTAGGAAATAGGTTTTCACTGTTTAAAACTAATTTTTGCATGTGAGGGGTGAACCTGTGAGTACTTAGCAAATTCAGAGAATCAGCCACACCAGGGTAAGGGCATGGATTTATTCTGTGCTATTCTTGCTGGTCCGATGTCCAGTGGATGGAAGTCAGTATAAGGCACATTTCTGTTGGATGCAAAATGACTTTCTGGCAGTCACAGCCATCCTGGAATAGAATGGGCAGTTGCCTGCTAAAGTCATGTGCCCATTTTTTCTGTCGTTGAAGTCATTCAAGCCTGGTCTATATGCCCATCTGCCATGGAAACCAGCAGGACATTCTTGCATCAAATAAGTTGGGCTGGGCCATTTTTAAAACCAAATCAGGAATGCAGTTCAAGCTCATGCCTACAAAGCCAAGTCACTGCTATAATTACTTGACCTCTGGAATTAAGAAGGATTATTATAATCAGGAATTCAGATAGCAAATCTGGCAATAAAATCTAGAGATTTTGCTTTTGATTTCCACCTTCCAGGTAGTTCCCATTCTTCCTCATTGGTGAAATCTTGACATATCCATGCTAAATTATTAAATCACCCTTCTGCCTAGAAATGATGCATTTCTGATTCAGATTGGTTGGGTTTTTATGAGAAATTCAGTTACTAAACAGGCAGAACCTTGCAGTAAATGGCTTAGGTCCAGTTTCTATAACCTTTGAAGATGTATGTGTGCAGGGATTTATAACCTATCTGCATTTTCTCAACTGAAAGTAGTTCAAGGGGATGCTAAACATTTAGAGAATTCAGCTTTTCTAACTGACATTCTAACTGGCATTTTACCAGGAGACATCTCATATATACACTGTGTTGTCATAGATTGTAATGATGGCCCCCCCAAATATTTAAAATCATAAAATGCACTTTGAGTCACCAAAAATCAATTAAATTGCTTTTAGCAAAAGTTTGGTTACAGTATTTATATGCTTATCTTTGGCATTTATGCTAACTTCTTATTGCTATGATGGGTATATTTCTGGGAATGTTCTAGGTGCTAGAGACAATGCAGTGAATTTTTTTCTAGCAATGCCACATAACAAAAAATTCACTATAATTGGGACAGGCATTTGTATTAGTGAGAGAGGGTGGCATGGCCATGAGGGTACTGGGATATATGTGTTGGACAGTGGGAACTAGACTGTGATCTTGATAGAACCTTAAGAATACGTTTTATAGGTCTTTTGAACTGAAAGCAACCATAATGATCATCATTTGCTAGACAAGTCAGCAAATCATCACAGGAGGTCTTCTCAAGGTCACACATCTGGTTAGTGTCTTCCAGTTTATTTTTGTATTGTCTCCCTTATTATAACCCTGCTTTTTTTTTTTTTTTTCGCCTCATGCCCGATTAAAACCTGGGCCAGAAAGTCGGTAAGTAGAACTGGTTTTAACTGTTATGGTTGTGCCTCAAGTCTTGGTGGAGATAAAACAAAAAGTCAAGAATGAAAAGGAACGGTACCTCTCCCCCTCCCCTTCCCTCCTTTCTCCTCCCTTCTCTTCATCCATCCCCTCCCCTCCTCATCTTTCCCTCTGCTTTAGATACTTTTTTTAAAAAATCTGTTAAGTGTTTCCTTTTACTTTTGAAAAGTATAGTCTAATCCTTGAAAACTTGAGGAAATTTAATATTGACAAGTGAATAAAACATGTTACAAGGATTTTGCCTTTGTCAGATATTTAGAATTCTCTGCAAAATAGATAGGAGCACTTTTTATTTAGTAAAAACCCATTTTTATGAAATTTCAGCTCCAGCATAGTTCTGTGAAAAAGTGAGTTTTATGGAAAGCCAGAAACTGGCTTTTTCCAAATTATTATCATCCAAATTATTTTATGCAAAATAACCCAAATAATTTTATTGGGGAAAACAAAAGCAGTCTCTTCTGGTCACCTCATGCCAAGAGACAGCACACTTCGGCAGTGTACCTCTTTCTAAATAAATCAGGATATGAAAACACAGCTGCTTTCAAAAGACTCAGAATGCTTTATCCGTGTTTAACACTTCATAGAATCGCCATCCTCATTAAAGAATTCCAAGGATGCCTTTCCTGTGCTGGCTGCTCTAGAGAAGTCAGCAGGCCACCAGTGCCAGGGCCCGCTCTCCCCTCAGTAGTAGCACCGTCTCTAATCCTACAGGTACCTTGCACTGTCTCTAATCCTATAGGTGCCTTTAGACCAAGAGCAGGTCACCAGACTCTCAGTTCTGGGAAGGCCCCAGAGAGCCCAGGAATTGCATCCTGCCAGAGTGGGGAAGAAGCAGTGCTCTGCGCGCCGAGGGTTTGTTGCATTCACGTGCGAGCACTCATAGCTGGTACTTTCCCCAGCTTCTCCCCTCACACATTGAGGAACTTAACACAAACCGTAACCAAAGCGTCCCTGGTAGTCTCTTAGAGACACAGTCGTTTATCAGTCGTTTATACTTGGCCCTCCTGCCAGCAGTACCAGGTTCCTTTGGCACGTGTGGGAGCTACTTATAGGGATGTGGTTCTTGGGACACAGTGAAAATGTAGGTTAGTAGTAACCTGTTTGTAAGCAATTCATTGCTAAGAAGTAGGGGAAAAAAGCCTTCTGGAAGCCTTAGTTATTTGTTTAGAATTGCTGGTAGTGCAGGATGGAGGGATGAAGTAGAATCTGAACTTTGGGTAAGTTGAATGGGGCAGCCTTCCACACTCATCTAGAGCGCACACCCAGAGGTTATGATACAGCGCTAGATGAGAGAGCACTTCTCTCCCGTCAGCTTCCAGTGACCCTGTAGTGCCTCATGAAAGGACGAATCATCTTTGTGAAATGTGGAAAAGAAAATGTTTGCCCACAGTCTTTGATTTCTGTGCCTGCTGAGATGGTAGGCCATACAGAAATACAGTTGGGATATACCCATCTATCTTATTTATGGGAAGGGCATACACACTCCAGTAGTCTTGCCTGGAGAATCACATGGACAGAGGAGCCTGGCAGGTTACAGTCCCTGGGGTCACAGAGAGTCGGACACTACTGAGCAACTAACCCTGCATTTTATTTGTGGCCACAGTGACCCCTTTACAAATTATATGCTTAAAATAGTCTCAGAATATGCAAGAACTAAGCAAGGTTTTCTTAGTCTTTTTAATGTGCTTCTAAAAGTAAACTATGAAAGCCTAGATACTCAGTGGTACCTTCATTGTATGACAGGGCTGGGTTTTAGAATCATCCTTAATGCTCGGTTATGCCTCTCATTAAGTGACCTTGGATGAGCTCTGTGAATTCAGCTCTGTCACCCATCTAGTTGAGTTTTAGTGAGGATAGAACTTGACACTCTGGTGTGATGATTGAGCACATAGTAATTATCTGAAATATGTTACTTCTCCCCTTCCTCTTAGCCAAAAATATAAGAAATAAAATATGGAGATTCTTTAACAGTTAATTATTGAGATATAATTCACATACCATACAGTTCACCCAAAATATGGAGATTTGAGCTTAAAACATTTTTCTGGGAAAAAATCAACTTAATAATACTTTCCCCACATCTACAAATACATACAAAAACCCTCTTGAATGCCTCACATTAGGATTTCTTACCATCTTGATATCATTCCCATCTCTTCCTCCTCCACCCCCCAGCTCCTCACTGTACCCCTTTATACACAGACTGTACATACAGACTATACACAGACTTGTACATACAGACTGAAGCAAGGATGTATCTTTCTTGTTTGAAAGAAAGAATCAAGATTGTTCAAAATGTAATGGGAAAGAAAGTCAGCCCCTTCTAGAATACTTCTTAGGACTTGCATATGGGTTTGTGAACTCCTGGGGACCCAGTGCAGTGGGAGATGGTTAAATTTTCAGTTTGTGATTTTTCCGTAGGAACTGCTGCCATGTCCCACCAACCACTTAGCTGCCTGACTGAGAAGGGGGACAGCCCCAACGAAACCACAGGAAATGGACCCCCCAATCTGGCTCACCCAAACCTGGACACGTTCACCCCACACGAGCTGCTGCAGCAGATGAGAGAGCTTCTAATCGAGAACCATCAGTTGAAAGGTAAGCAACACCTAGCCCCATGTTTCTCCATTTACCCATGGCCTTTGGGAACACAGTCCCTTGGTAATAGCTTGTAGGTGAATCCCTTTCTCTGCACCTGGTTCCTTGGGGAGAGATACAGCACAGGACTAGCTCTTAGTAAGACTAAAGCTGCTTCCCGGGTGGCGCAATGGTAAAGAATCCGCCTGCCAATGCAGGAGATGTGGGTTTGGTCCCTGAGTCGGGATGATCCCCTGGAGAAGGGGATGGCAACCCACTCCAGTATTCTTGCCTGGAGAATCCCATGGACAGAGAAGCCTGGTGGGCTAGTCACATAGCCTGTGACTATGTGGAGTCATAAAAGAATTGGACACGACTTAGTGACTAAACAACAGCAAGGCTAAAGCTGTTCCCATTGTTTACTTTTGGATACAGGTAAGAATAAAATTATGTATCTCTGGGAAATGGCAGAATGACATTTAGCCCTAAGTTTAAAAGGAAAAATAAAAAGGCTGCTATTATTACAGAGTTAGTCCTAAATATTACCTTAAGAGAAAGGATTCTAATATCTCTAGCCATGGCTTTTGGCAGAACCAGTATTGGAATCCAGGAGTAATGGACCTCAGCTAGTTAGTAATAGACATTTTGTTAAAATAAATCAATAAGATCAATTTTATTTTCTTGAGAGTCTTGAGGGCAGTCGGTGACATTAGACCTTGTAGTCCTGTTTGAAAGCAGAAACTACTCATTTTGCTATGTAGTCTTTCCAGCTGACCCTGGAGCCCAGGCCAACCCTGGCATTTTGATGTTCAGAGCTACATGGTGAGGTGATCTATGGGGAGGTTCTCTTCATGACCCCAAGTCCAGTCCCCTGGTGTTTTGACCTCTCTGAACCCCATGCAGAAGCCATGAAGCTAAACAATCAAGCTATGAAAGGGCGATTTGAGGAGCTTTCAGCTTGGACAGAGAAGCAGAAGGAAGAACGCCTTTATTTTGAGACTCAGAGCAAAGAAGCCAAAGAGCGCTTAACGGCACTGAGCCTTGAAAATGAAAAACTGAAGCAAGAACTTGGAAAATTAACAGGGAAAACTGAAAGGGCATTTGAGGTGAGTGGACTGATCAGTTGTAATTTTATTATGTTCATATTTGTAGTGGGATCTTACTTGTCTAGACTTCAAGATCAAAACTTTCCCAGTTCCAGCTAGATGCTTGCATTATCTTGAAAGAATAGTGATGAGAAGATTGGTTGCAATTTTAAGGGTCATGTGTAATCTCTGGTGAAGGAAAGAAATGAGTCAAACTTTGACCTTATTGATTATAGTCAAAAGAGTGTTATGGTTATAAATCAATATTTTGTATTCATTATAGATGGTACACAAAGACCTCTGCCTAGAACCATTCAAATGTTGGTCTTTAGTCCTTGATATAGAATTACATTTTTAAAATCTATTTCTCAGAATTTTCACTTATTGACCTTGTCCTATCTCTCCATCTACAGTAGATTCCTCACTTTGTGTTTTACATTTACTTTTGAAAAATGGTTTGACAGATACTATATCGTGTGATATGAGGCTGTAAGGTTGCCACATTTCCACTGACTCAAAGAACCTGAGAAATGTGCTTTGATACCCTTGAGAACGGGTATCGAAGATGTGAATGAAAAGTCCTGTAGGTTTCCCAGAAAGGTCCCCGTATTGAAAGAAGTTGAGATTGGAAGCTGGAGCTCTGGGCAGCTTCTTTCAGTGTAGAGGATCCATTGAAGCAAACTATAGGCAGGACTCAGAAATGAGTCCTTGGGACAGAGAGACACTGAGGATTCTTCAAAACCCTTGGTCATCAGTTTTTTCTCCACAAGCTGTGCCTTCCAGGCCCCCACCTGCCCCCCACCTCTTTTAATTTTTGTTTCATGGACCACTTGAGGTGTGTGTTTGTTTGTTTTTAATTTAGCCTCTCATCTTCCTGATTTACTGAAGCTCTGAAGGCCTCTCACTCACTCACGCTGACCTGTCTTTGCTGCTGCTTCAGCAGGCACCCCCCCACCCCACCCCCTCCAGCCATCAGGGATGCCCCCCGTGTTCTGTGAGGCAAAGGGAAGGAGCAGGGAGTTTCCACTGAGACCTGCCCTCCAACCCTCAGGGTGAGGCTGAGGTATGACTGATTCTGTCCTGATTTCACTGAACTACAGACCTGGTGGCTCAGAGGGTAAAGCATCTGCCTGCAATGTGGGAGACCCGGGTTCTATCCCTGGGTCGGGAGGATCCCCTGGAGAAGGAAATGGCAACCCACTCCAGTATTCTTGCCTGGAGAATCCCATGGACAGAGGAGCCTGGTAGGCTATAGTCCCTCTGGTCACAAAGAGTCGGAAATGACTAATCGACTTCACTTTTCACAGACATCATGGTGATCTCTAAAGAATCCTTTTTTCTTTTCTTTTATTTATTTTTAATTGAAGGATAATTGCTTTACAATTTGTGTTAGTTTCTGACGTAACATCAGTATGAATTAGCCATAGGTTTGTGCGGTGGTAAGTCACTGACTCAATGGCCATGAGTTTGAGCAAGCTCCGGGAGTTGGTGACAGACAGGGAAGCCTGGCGTGCTGCAGTCCATGGGGTCACACAGAGTCAGACATGACTGAGCGACTGACCTGAACTGAAGAGAGAGTTGGGCTTGAGATCCCAGAGAACAAACCCTGGGAGTTTCATCCAGGAAGATGATGGACAGAGCCTAAACAGTGAAATGAAGAGAAATTTTAAGTGTCACCTCACAAGGTGTTTTGCAGATCTGTAGTTTCCCAAGGATAATTAAGTGTTAGTCATTCAGTAGTATCCCACTCTTTGCAACCCCATGCACTGTAAGCTCCTCTGTCTGGCCAGGCTCCATGGAATTCTCCACCCAAGAATACTGGAGTGGGTTGCCATTCCCTTCTCCAGGGGATCTTCCTGACCCATCAATCAGATATGGGTCTCCTGCATTGCAGGCAGATTTTTTACTGTCTGAGCCACCAGGCAAGCCCAAGGATAAAGAAGAGACCCACACAATTGCGAAAAAGAAAATTAACCTGACTTCTGAGACTCAAGAGTCATGGCCTTATATCCCTGGTCCTCAGGCATGTGTTTAAAACTCTGTTTCCTTCCTTTGTGGAAAGATGTGGAAGGATTGGACTTCTATCCATTCCACTCAGTGTCCTCAGGAAGGTCAAGAGGGTGGATGTGAAGGTTTCTCACAGGCGTAGTCTTCCCCTTGCCTGCTTGCTTCCTGGTTCCAACTAGGCAGTACCTTTCCTTTTTTTCATTTTTATGCCTTTAAATATGCATTTCTGTGGTCTGAATCATTAGCAGGAGAGACTGTACAAACTTTGAGCTTTTCCTTGCAGACCTAACTCTTCAGTTTTATGAGTTGCTTTTTCCTAAAGCCTATGAGAGTTTCCTGGCAAGGGGATGGTCCAGAAGAAGGCAGAGCGTGATTCCACTGGTGTGATGGGCTCTTCATGTGCCAATTACTACCTAGCTCTCACTCTCTTAACACTTCACAGACTAGCTGATTTATGGTCCATACACATGCCTTTCTGATTATTTGTTGGTTCTACTATGAGCTTTTGGGCCTGTTTACCATTCCTTACAAAATCTGTCAGAGGGTGTTTGTGGGGTGGGGGCGGAGGAGGGGGTTGAATTTTCAATGTTGCAGTCCTCTGGTAATCTCAAGTATACATATTTCTGGTGGTGCCATGTTTATAAGAGCCGCGAGGGAAGAAATCAGGAGGCCAAGGTTACAGCTAGATGAGGCCACAGAGACAGCATGATACCAAGTCTTTCTGATCCGAGGAAACTGAAGCCAAGACATTAAGGGAATCTGTTCAAGGCAACACATGCTCTGATTAGCAGTGTGTGGACTAGAGTCTGTTCTCCCTTCTCCCGAGTAAAAACACCACATGTTAGCAAGCTCTTTCTTTTATGACTTTGTCATATGTGGTAATTGCAACGAGACGAACACAACAGGTACTCGACATTAGGAAAATATTAATGTTTATTAGTTTATCAAGGGAAGCCCGTTAATGTTTGTAGAGGCCAAAGTTAATTTTCTACCCTTGGTACCAGCCTCTGAATTTTCAGTTTTTTTAATTTCTCACCAGATTTACCTTTAGCAACCTTAAAACACCAGCATAGAATATTGTAACAACCAACCTACACGGCTGGGAGGATTTTGGACCTTTCATTGTGTTTTGCCGTCACCGTACTGTCATGCCCTTGTGCTTTGGCTTGTAAGCAGAAATGACAAGTATGAGGAGAGAGGAGGTGGAAGGAGAAAAAAAAAAAAGGAAGAGGTTGAGTTGTGGCAGTTCTTTATCCTTATTTTCTGGGATTTGGGGCTGTAGTTTACTAGTCAACCATTGCCAAAGTCTGGTTGGTTATTTTCATGATAATCAGATTATTTCTTTCAGCATGTTGAGGAAATCTTGCTTGTCATGAGTTTATTTTAACTTCCTATTATTTGCACATGACAAAGTAAATTTTTCCTTTTCAAATGGTATATCAAAATGCCAAGGAAAAGCTAGAATTCCCTACTGTAAAGCACAGCTGTCTTACCAGTAGGTATAGAGGCACTTGAGTTTGACGGCAGAGTCCTTGGCTGAGTCATTTGTTCACTTTGCTCCACATTGTTTCCAGGACATCACTGGGGACCCCAAGGTCCCCAAGGCAGAAGTGGAACAAGAAGTGGAACAGCTGAAGACCCAGGTGGCACGCCTCCAAGCTGAAAAGGCAGATCTTCTGGGCATCGTGTCTGAATTGCAACTCAAGCTGAATTCAGGCGGTTCCTCCGAAGACTCCTTTGTTGAAATCAGGATGGCTGTAAGTATGTTGGTTTTGGTTTTGTCTTAAGCAAGTTATAAAACCTCACCTGGACAACTGCTAGAAATATCACTGCTTCCTTTCAACATGGGAAAGCCAAACAGTGGGGAAATTTCAGTGTAGTCAGCATAAATATAAAACATCATGCTTGTGGCTATCACAGCTGAAATGGAAAATACTGATTACCTTTTATGACTGGAGAGATAGTCCTTTTTTTCCCCCAGTATGTCCTGAATAGTTTATCTGACCTAAAAAGGAAAAAAAAAAAAAAAACGTATAAACTTGTTCAGCCCAGGTTTCAAAGCTGTGTTCAGCATTTCACTTAGGTAAGCAGAATCATGATCAGATGCAGTAAAATCAAAAGGCTCGCCACTTACTAATCATAGAATCCTCTTTTCAGACAAAGTCCTATGAGGAACGTAGGCATATTAAAAATAAGAAGTGGAGAAAAGCAGGAGCAGAGGTGCTCTGGGTGTAGCCCCAGGAAATACCTGGGCTTCTCCCTCCGCTGCAGCAGCAGCTGCTAGGGAAGCGCCGAGGACAGATTCTGGAGCCAGCATTATCTTACTGGCTTTTATGTGTAGCCCCAAATGAAGCGAGCTGGGCAAGGCAGCACAGGCTGGCCTGTTCTGATGGGATGCATGTGTCGGCGGGTAGCTGGTGTGTGGGCAGTCCTGCTAGAAGGGAAACCTCCTTCTTTGCTACTAGAAAAAAAAAATGGAATACAGACTAAGGGAGACAGGCACAGGAGGGTATGGTCCTCCACTGTACAGTCAGCCCAGCCTTGTCAGAGCACACGTCTGATGCATGAAGAGAGCTTAACTGTGTCTCTGGAAGAGAAAACCCTCCATGTAGACAAGTGGGGGTGAGGCGGGGTGAAGTGCACCTTACAAAAAGCTCAGCTACTGGATATGTCTGCAATACCAGAGCATGACTCTCTTCACTTTATCATTAATTTGCTGCGCTAAAGATGAACAGAAGTGGAAAATGGCTCTTAATAACCCTGCCACCCACACCCCTCAGAAATTTTAGATGAATAGGGGCTGAAGTCAAGAGAAAATCCTAATCAGGAAGTACCCTGTGTCAGAGCACTCATTCTGCACACGAGCAAAGATTATGAAAACATTGATCAAAGAGCTTTCACCTTCTGCAAATAACTGATAAAATTCAGGAAGTCTAAGGAGCGTATCAGAAGTTTCCAAATGAGGCTTCTTTCTTTGGGGTGCATGGTTACCATAATGTTCTCCCTCACTGATGAGTGACAGTTATTTCTAGTGTAAACATGTTTTTCTTGCCTTGCTCCTATGAACAGAAAAACACTGCCCAAGTGTTTTAGGAACAGTGTGTGCATACAAAATTATCTAGAACCACCTCTGTATTTTTCCACTAGCTCACTGGACTAGAAATGTCTTTCACATCATTGAAGTGGTCTTAGCCCCGCCCTGTTCCCTAAGTGGCCCAAGAAGCAGATGAATTTCAATTCAATGGGAGCCAGCCTTTCACTTTGTGAGCCTTGCCCACAGAAGACAGCCTTCTTTCCAAGTGGCTTCAGCAAGTTCTAGCATTTTGCATTTTATTTTTTAATTTTTTCAGATTTATTTATTTATTTCTGGCTGCTCTGGGTCTTTGTGGTTGAGCACAGGCTTTCTCTAGTTGCAGCGAGTGGGAGTGATTCTTCTGTTTGCAGTGGCTTCTCTTGTTGTGGAACACAAGCTGTAGGTGAGTGAGCTCAGGAGTTGTGGTACGTGTGCCCAGTTGCTCTGCAGCATGTGGAATTTTTCTGGACCAGGGATTGAACCCGTGTCCTGCATTGGCAGGTAGATTCTTAACCACTCGACCACCAGGGAAGTCCCACATTTTGCATTTTGAAGGAGTGTGTGGGAAAAGTATGCGGAATTGTCATTAGCTGTGTGTGACCTTAACTTGTAGAGAAGGGAACTGCCAACAAGAGAGGGAGAGAGGAGATAAGCTTTCCTGTATGTGGGGTCAGGATGACTGTGCTGAATGAGAGGAGCCCGGCCTTCTCGTCTTCATCTGGATATTTATAATCCTGACGGGGCATACAGGTTGAGGGAAGGATAAACTTCCATTCCATTTGAGTGACTGAGTTGAAGCATCTCATGTTTCTGTATTTGGTAGATTCCTTGGGTTACATGTCATCCAAATTCTTGATCTTTCACCTTTTTCTCTTTTGCTGGAGAATTTGTCTTATAGGCATGCTATGTTAAACCTCTCTCATTTCTGCTTTTACAGGAGGGCGAAGCAGCTGTGGCAGCAAAAGAAATCAAGACAAGTCCTGGGCCCACAAGAACTCATTCTGTTGACAGGTATGTGAAGACAGAGTCAGGCTATCAGACAGGCACTCTGGGCAGTCTTGTCACTTTCCCCTCACCCCTGAGAGGCCAAACATGGTGGGCTGAAAAAGCCACTTACTGATTTACACTGGGGCCTTTCCAGAATGTTCAGTTTGAATGCTGTTCATATTTATTGTTGCAGCCCACTGGTAGAGAATAAAAACTATGTTTGGTGCCTTGGTAGGCTAACTAACCCCTCACCACTCTGTGTAGAGGTATTTCATCACCATCAGGTGAGAAGTGAAAACAAGCTGGTTCTCAGCTAAGAGACCCATGTTTCCTAATGTGTTCACGAGTGCAGTCTGCCCCGGACTAGGCTGCCCAGCTGATAAGGACGATGTTTCCTTTTCTCTTCCCTGTTCATTCCCGAGCACAAGGCAAAGTGGCTAATGTAGGACAGTCTTCCGTAACAATGACTGTAGTTGCTCTGGGTTGTGGCTGTTTTTTCAGTGTGTCCAGACATTGTACCTGGGGAATCTCCAGTAGACTTGTGCCTAGTAGACAGCCATCTGAAATGGCAGGGGGACCTTAAGGAGGCGATGGCAGGGGGCCGGCACCCGCGTCTCTTACAGGTAGCTGTGACCCAGAATGTGCTATTGGCTCATCCCCGGTAAGCAGGTTACTACTGTATGAATCCGCTTAAGAAGATTTACTGAAATTTCCCTAAGCATCTCTTCCTTCAGAGACTTTTAATATCTTTTTTCTATAACTTGATGAATGGACTTATAAAAGTGTTTTTTCTTCCTCAGTTATGCTGCCAAGCCCTTGTATGAGGCAAAAAATCGGGATTAGATTTCTTTCACCAAACGGGGCAGTTGGCAGAAATGAAAGTTACTCCCTTTTTTAATTAGAAATAACTACCCCCGCCCCCCATATTGCCTTTTTAATATCAGAAGACTTTCCTGAAAGTGGTGCGAAGGAAGAAAGCCGTGTTTGAAATTTCTAAGCCACTTCCTCTTCATGTATAGCTGTGTAAATACCACTTCTTCTTTTAAACCACACAGCTGTGTTTTAATAACAGCTTCTTTACCTTGTTTGAAAGTATTTTAAGGAGTCAGAGATTGATCTCCGGGGTTGAAGTTTGAGCTTTGGTGATGGGAACCGGGATTGAATCCTGAATCCTGGCTCTTTGTTAGATGTGTGAACTTGGGTAGGTTACTGAAGGCATAGCTGCTATTAGCGTCAGCGTAGCTTTCCAGAATGTTTAGTTACTGCAGTGATGGCCGTGGTTTTCTTCATCATTGAACTGCCTCTTCATTTAATCTGAGTTTGAAGTCAAGAAATATATTTGACATACCAACGTGCCTACATTTCTGTACTCTAGTTATTAGAAACCAAAAACAAAAATGCTTTTTCTTCTCCTGACTTAAGAATGTGGTTTTTTCTGTCAAGTTGGCGATAGACCAGTGGACTGCATGTCACCACAGGCAGCACATGTGTGACCATGGTCCTCTTGGAGATGAGTCCTCTAGGAAAGCAGGGCTCCAAAACTGGGGCTCCCTCTCCTCCACTGCTTCTGTGGGTCCTGGGGTCTGGTGCCGTGGACACTGTGACCACGTGGAGGGAGTGAGCGTGTGCAGAGTAAGGGGAGCCGACTCATCAGCCTCACTCCTTCCCCGGACAGCATGGAGGACCCAGGCTCTGGTTGTCACCAGGCCAACTATGCTTGGTCTGTAAATGAGAATTAACAGGAGAATATTCTGGAAAGCTGTTCCTTTTAACTAGTTCCAGTAATACTGTTAGACTCCAACATTTTCATATTCTCAGAAACCTTTCTGCTGTTCTGATGTAGGAGCAAATCTGCAGAAGGTACCAGGAATTATGTGGAGTTTGAGGAATTAACTGTGAGCCAGCTCCTGCATTGTCTAAGGGAAGGAAACCAGAAGGTGGAGAGACTTGAAATTGCCCTCAAGGAAGCCAAAGAAAGGTATGAAATAAGCAACGTGGAAAATGCATACATTGCTTTTTTAATGGCTTTCAGTTCAGTTCAGCTCAGTCACTCAGTCATGTCCAACTCTTTGTGACCCTATGAACGCAGCACGCCAGGCCTCCCTGTCCATCACCATCTCCTGGAGTTTACCCAAACCCATGTCCATTGAGTCGGTGATGCCATCCAACCTTCTCATCTCTGTTGTCCCCTTCTCCTCCTGCCCTCAATCTTTCCCAACATCAGGGTCTTTTCCAATGAGTCAGCTCTTCGCATCAGGTGGCCAGAGTATTGGAGTTTCAGCTTCAGCATCAGTCCTTCCAATGAACACCCAGGACTGATCTCCTTTACGATGGACTGGTTGGATCTCCTTGCAGTCCAAGGAACTCTCAAGAGTCTTCTGCAACACCACAGTTCAAAACCATCAATTCTTCGGCACTCAGCTTTCTTTATGGTCCAACTCTCACATCCATACATGACCACTGGAAAAACCATAGCCTTGACTAGATGGACCTTTGTTGGCAAAGTAATGTCTCTGCTTTTTAACATGTGTCTAGGTTGGTCATAACTTTCCTTCCAAGGAGTAAGCATCTTTTAATTTCATGGCTGCAGTCACCATCTGCAGTGATTTTGGAGCCCAAAAAAATAAAGTTGGCCACTGTTTCCACTGTTTCCCCATCTGTTTGCTATGAAGTGATGGGACCAGATGCCATGATCTTAGTTTTCTGAATGTTGAGCTTTATGCCAACTTTTTCACTCTCCTCTTTCACTTTCATCAAGAGGCTCTTTGGTTCCTCTTCACTTTCTGCCACAAGGATGGTGTCATCTGCATATCTGAGGTTATTGATATTTCTCCTGGCAATCTTGATTCCACTTTGTGCTTCTTCCAGCCCAGCGTTTCTCATAATGTATTCTGCATAAAAGTTAAATAAGCTTTATTGGAATGTAATTAAGATGCCATAAATTTCATCCATTTAAAGTGTACATTTTAATTTTTTTTTAGAATAGTCACAGAGTTATGTAGCTTTTACCACATTATAATTTTAGAACATTTTTTCCCCCAATAAGAAACCTAGTACTTGTTAGCACTCATTCCTCTTTCCTCCTGGTAATCTACTTTTCTGTCTCCATAGATTTACCTTTTCTGGACTCTTCATACAAATCGAATCATGCAACATGTAGTCTTTTGTGACCAGCTTATTTTATTTACCATAATGTTTTCAAAGCTCATTCATGGTATAGCATTTGTCAATCTTCATTCCTTTTCATTGCTGAATAATATTCTATGGTGTAACGAGACAGTATTTTGTTTATCTGTTCATCATTTAATGAACATTTGGGTTGTTTCCACTTTTTGCCTATTATGAATAATATTTGCTCTCTACATTCAGGCACAGTTTTTTTTGTGGGCATAGTTTTTTAATTCGCTGGGTATATACCTAGGAGTTAAATTATTGGGTCACATGGTTACTCTCTGTCTAATGTTTTAAGAAACAACCAAACTGTTTTCCACAGTGGCTGCACCATTTTACATTCTCACCAGCATTCACACCAACATTCGCTGTTTGTCTTTTTGATTATGGCTCTCCTTGTGGATGTGAAGTGGTATCTCACTGTGATTGTGATTCTGTTTCCCCAGTGATGAATACGCATGTTGGCCATATGTGTATCTTCTTCTTTGCCCATTAAAAAGTTTGGATTGTCTTTTAATTATTGAATGACATGAGGTATATGATTTGTAAATATTCTCTCCCATTCTGTGAATTATCTTTTCATTTCTTTGATGGTATCGTTTGCAGCACAAAATTCTTTTTTATTTTGCTCTACTCCAATTTATCTGTTTGGTTTTGGGGTCACTTCTGCTTTTGGTGTTGTAGCTAAGAAACCACTGCCTAACCCACAAAGATTCACTCCTGTGTTTTCTCCTAATTGTTTTATAGTTTTAGCTCTTACATTTAAGTCTCTGATCTATGTTGAGAGTGCATTTTTGTGCATGGTGTAAGGTGAAGGTCCAACTTCATTCTTGTGTCTGTGGATACCTAGTTGTCCTGACACCATTTGTTGAAAAGATAATTTGTTTCTCACTGACACCCCGGTGTAAATCAGTTGACCATAAACAAATGTAAAGATTAATTCCTAAATGCTCAGTTTTGTTCAGTTGATCTAAGTGTCTGTCCTAATGGTGATACTACACTGTCTTAATTAGTTTTGTAATAAAATTTGAAATTCTGAAATGTAGGTCCACCAATTTTGTTGTTCTTTTAAAAAGATTGTTTTGGTGGATCCCTTGTTTTTCTTATAAAACTCTTAGAATAAGTTTGTTATTTTTAAGTTGGGATTTTGTTAGGGATTGCATTGAATCTGGAGATCAATTTGAGGAACATTGCCATCTTAACAATATGAAGTCTTCTGATCCATGAACATGGGTTTCTTTCCATTTCCTTAGGTCATAACTTAATTTCTTCCAATGATGTGTTGTAGTTTTCAGTGTATAGGTCTTTTAGTTCTTTTTCAAAATTAATTCCTATGTATTCCAGTCTTTTTGGTACTGTAATACATGAAATTATTTTCTTGATTTCATTTTTGGATTTTTCATTGTTAGTGTTGGTGTTCAGTTGCTAAGTCATGTCTGACTCTTTGCAACCCCATGAACTGCAGCATGCCAGGCACCTCTGTCCTTTACTTAATCTCCCTGAGATTGCACACACTCATGTCCACTGAGTCAGTGATGCCATCCAACCATCTCATCTTCTGTCACCCGCTTCTCCTCCTGCCCTCAAACTTTGCTGGCATCAAGGTCTTTTCCAACTTTTCCAAAGTGTCAACTTTTCACACCAGGTGGCCAAAGTACTGAAGCCTCAGCATCAGTCCTTCCAATGAATATTCAGGGTTGATTTCCTTTAGGATTGACTGGTTTGATATCCTTGCTGTCCATTGTTAGTGTAGAGAAATATAACTGATTTTTGTATATTGATCTTGTAGCCTGCAACCTTGCTGAATTCATTTATTAGCAATAATCTTTATTTTTTTTAGTGGCTTCCTCAGTATTTTCTTTATACAAGACCATGTCATTTGCAAAGAAATAGTGTTACTTCTTCCTTATCAACCACTATTTCTTTTATTTATTTATTTATTTATTTATTTTTTACTTCCATGATTGCCCTGGCTAGAACTTCCAGTATAATGTTAAATAAAAGTAGAGAAAGTAGATATACTTGTCTTATTCCTGATCTTGGGGGGAATGCTTTCACTCTTTCACCACTAAATTGGTGGTATTAGCTTTGTTTTTCGTACATGCTTTTGTCAAGTTGAGACGCTCTTTTCTATTTCTGGTTGCAATCTTTATCATGAAAACGTTTTACATTTTGTTAAATGCTTCTACTGAGTCTATGAAGATGATTGTGTGTTTTTTTTTTAAACCTCTATTAAAGTATTGATTGATTTTCTGATGTTAAACTAACTTTTCATTCCTGGATAAATCACACCTGGTCATGATATATGATCTGCTGTATGTTGCTGGTTTGGATTGCTAGTCTTCTTAGTAAAGATTTTTGCATGTGTATTCCTAAGGGGTGTTGGTCTGTAGTTTTCTTGTAATGTCTTTGTCTGGTTTTGATATAAGAGAAATACTGACCTCATAGAATGTGACATACACACACACACTTTGGGATAAAATTTATTTACCTTATAGAGTTGTGAAGTCAATGAATTTCTATGTGTGAATGAACTTTTTAGGAATGCAGAGTGCTAAACCACATAAGACAGGGGGCATAATGGAAAGTTTTAGGGTTACAATGATTGCAACATTTAGTCATAAATATACTGTATATAGCATATACTAAAGTATACATAAATATAATATACATGCATAATTCTCTCAGACATTATAAATGTTTCATTAATCTTAAAACTATAGCACTTTCTAACTGAAGCAGTTGAAAAATTAAGTATAAGAAAATCTGTTCTTAAAATATGAAACAAAAGTTATTTATTCAGAATGAGGGTTATCTAAAAGAAATCAGTGTTTTTCCAATGACTTATTTGATAGTCAGTTCTTTTCAAAGGTGAAAAGGAATGACGGCTATAAATTGTAGATCTTTACCTCGTATCCTGATCTGCATATAGGTTTCTCAAGAGGCAGGTCAGGTAGTCTGGTATTCCCATCTCTTTCAGAATTTTCCACAGTTTATTGTGATCCATACAGTCAAAGACTTTGGCATAGTCAATAAACCAGAAGTAGATGTTTTTCTGGAACTTTCTTGCTTTTTTGATGATGTTGGCAGTTTGATCTCTGGTCCCTCTGCCTTTTCTAAAACCAGCTTGAACATCTGGAAGTTAACAGTTCACGTATTGCTGAAGCCTGGCTTGGAGAATTTTGAGCATTACTTTACTAGCGTGTGAGATGAGTACAATTGTGTGGTAGTTAGGCAGGTCAGGAAGCAACAGTTAGAACTGGACATGGAACAACAGACTGGTTCCAAATAAGAAAGGGAGTACATCAAGTCTGTATATTGTCACCCTGCTTATTTAACTTATATGCAGAGTACATCATGAGAAACACTGGGCTGGAAGAAGCACAAGCTGGAATCAAGATTGCCAGGAGAAATATCAATAACCTCAGATATGCAGATGACACCACCCTTGTGGCAGAAAGTGAAGAGGAACTAAAAAGTCTCTTGATGAAAGAGAAAGAGGAGAGTGAAAAAGTTGGCTTAAAGCTCAACATTCAGGAAACTAAGATCATGGCATCTGGTCCCATCACTTCATGGGAGATAGATGGGGAAACAGTGGAAACAGTGTCAGATTTTATTTTTTGGGCTCCAAAATCACTGCAGATGGTGACTGCAGCCATGAAATTAAAAGACGCTTACTCGTTGGAAGGAAAGTTATGACCAACCTAGACACATGTTAAAAAGCAGAGACATTACTTTGCCAACAAAGGTCTGTCTAGTAAAGGCTATGGTTTTTCCAGTGGTCATGTATGGATGTGAGAGTTGGACTGTGAAGAAAGCTAAGTGCCGAAGAATTGATGCTTTTTTTTTTTTCCATTTATTTTTATTAGTCGGAGGCTAATTACTTTACATCATTGCAGTGGTTTTTGTCATACATTGAAACAAATTAGCCATGGATTTACACGCACTCCCCATCCCGGTCCCCCCTCCCACCTCCCTCTCCACCCCATCCCTCTGGGTCTTCCCAGTGCACCAAGTCCGAGCACTTGTCTCATGCACCCGACCTGGGCTGGGGATCTGCTTCACCCTAGATAATATACATGTTTCGATGCTGTTCTCTTGAAACATCCCACCCTCACCTTCTCCCACAGAGTCCAAAAGCCAGTTCTGTACATCTGTGTCTCTTTTTCTGTTTTGCATATAGGGTTATCGTTACCATCTTTCTAAATTCCATATATGTGTGTTAGTGTGGTGTAATGTTCTTTATCTTTCTGGCTTACTTCACTCTGTATAATAGGCTCCAGTTTCATCCATCTCATTAGAACTGATTCAAATGAATTCTTTTTAATGGCTGAGTAATATTCCATGGTGTATATGTACCACAGCTTCCTCATCCATTCGTCTGCTGATGGGCTTTTGAACTGTGGTGTTGGAGAAGACTCTTGAGAGTCCCTTGGACTGCAAGGAGATCCAACCAGTCCATCGTAAAGGAGATCAGTCCTGGGTTGTTCATTGGAAGGACTGATGCTGAAGCTGAAACTCCAATACTTTGGCTACCTCATGTGAAGAGCTGACTCATTGGAGAAGACCCTGATGCTTGGAGGGATTGAGGGCAGGAGGAGAAGGGGACGACAGAGGATGAGATGGCTGGATGGCATCACCGACTCAATGGACATGAGTTTGAGTAAACTCCAGGAGTTAGTGATGGACAGGGACGCCTGGTGTGCTGTAATTCTTGGGGTCGCAAAGAGTCAAACACGACTGAGCGACTGAACTGAACTGACCCTGTATCCTGCTGCTGCTGCTAAGTCGCTTCAGTCAAATCTGACTCTGTGCGACCCCATAGATGGCAGCCCATCAGGCTCCCCTGTCCTTGGGATTCTCCAGGCAAGAACACTGGAGTGGGTTGCCATTTCCTTCTGCAGTTCATGAAAGTGAAAAGTGAAAGTGAAGTCGCTCAGTCATGTCCAATTCTTCAGGACCCCCATGGACTGCAGCCCACCATGCTCCTCCATCCATGAGATTTTCCAGGCAAGAGTACTGGAGTGGGGTGCCATTGCCTTCTCTGTACCCCGTATCCTACCACTGTCTTAATAGAAAAGTTGGGAGGTTAATTTCCAGGCAACTAGTACTATGTATTCTAATTGAGTAAAACATTTGTCCCGCCTTTTTGATAAGTCCCCAAACTGAGTAATGATGCACAGAAAAATAAATAAGTAAAAGCATTCATTTTACACCTCAGTTATTATAGGTACAGCTGGTTTTTTTAAAAGGAAGATGTTTTGCTTTGGAAAAAGACCTTTAATATTGATGAGTAATCAGTGTGTTTCTGTTTCATTGGCACATTTACCCTCCTGAGTTCTGTACAGCATTTGAAGAAGTCAAGTTTAGCTGCTAATTCATCCTTCCTCAGACAACATAATTAACTTTAATAATAAAAGTGTAAACTTAGGAATTTGCTGATTATATATCCTGATCTTTTATATGATCTAATATATAATTCCTGCTTTCAAAATAATGATAGCTCTCTGTCTGGCGTTGTAACTTTTCAGATTGTAGCTAGGAAGTCAGGCCTGCCTTTGAGATGGGTGTTTCCCTCTCTTACCCTTTCTCAATAACATTAAATTTCCACTTTGTGAGTTAGACTTCTTGCAGTTTTTAACACCTGGTAAGTCAGTGATCGGTTGCCAGGACCAGTGTTCTCCATGTCTGTGTTAGGACAACCTCCTGGCTAAGGTCAGACTGAAACCAAGAAATAAAATCACTGATTTATCACCTGACCTGATTTACTATGCAGGATATGATGAAAAGACGTTACAAGACCTAACATGTCTTTTCTCAAATATGTAACTCAGTCTTCAACTGTTTTCATTAGTCATGAGAAATAAGAGAAATTGAAAAATTTTAGGTGATAGGTGGGGAGAGGGGATAGTAGACTTGTTTTTCTTTCACTGTTTGCCAGGATTCATATTTTGTGTAATTTGTGTCTTCTGAACAAACGTAAACTGATAGCCAGGAAGGAGAGGGAAATTGTATATGAAGTATGGCCCAAGATAACAAGAGAAGGGGCAGGAAAAAGTCAGCCCAAGATGAAAATTTGCCCTAGAAATTTAAGTTGAAATTCACACGTGGATCGGAAGCCTGCATCGTATGTGAGTGGTGTGATGAAGGCCCCGCCTTCCACCCTGCACCAACCAGCTCTAGAGACGGTGCCTGTGCACCAGTTAGGTTTGGTGGTTTGCAACAGATACCAATGCTGTTTGTTTATTTTGTATTATCATTAAGTTCTTTTTAAAAAATCAGTTTTGCATTCACATAAAGAATTGGTTGCTCCACAGGCTTTTTATGGAAAGATAGTAGTAGTTCTTTGGCTAGCCACACACCCCCACACCCCCCACCACTTCCTTCTCCTGCTTCTCAACCACTTATAACATATTTATTGATCGTTTTTTTTAACTTTTGGCTACACGCACAACACATGGGACCTTAGTTCCCCAACTCGGGATTGATTCCATGCCCCCTGCATTGGAGGGCAGAGTCTTAACCACTGGACCAGCGGGGAAGTCCTGGCTTACAACTTATTTAGCTGGTTCTTTTGATACTTACTCCCATAGATCAAGATTAAATCATTACTCAGAAAAAGTTTTCCCCTATCTTAGACATAATCTATTGACCTCCCAACTATGAAGGATGAGAATTTAACTGCTTTTGACTCCCACCATTGTCACCACACCCACTTCTGGGCCCTTATTCCCATCCCATGCTACACCACCCTACTCCATTGTATTGACATTTAGTTAGATCACTACTCAGTGTTTTTTATTATTATTATCATTATGCAAACATATGCACGCATGCGTGCACAGTTCTCTGTTGAGCTCTGCTCTATGCCTTGACCACTTTTCCTTTCTAATACTTTAAAAAACAAAACCAAAAAGCTCTATGCAAAATTACATTTAAAAATTTGCTTAGTTTCATCATACCCTTCCCCAGTGAGGAAATCTCAGTGACATGCAAACGTGTTAGTAGTCTAATAGTTTCCTCTTCTTGAGAGTCGGCCTGGTTGCTGTCTAGGTCCGGTTCTACTGCACTTACCTTGGGACCTCTCTTTGGCCACTTGTGGAATTCCTTCAGCTCCCTCTTTTGGATCACCTGTTTTCTGTATCCAGTGTTCTTACTCACTAAATATCTTTAAATATCTCCACTCACTTACTAAGAAAGAATATATGGGGAGGATATTTTCTGAAATCTGCATATCTGAAAATCTCTCTCTCTAACTTTTTGCTTAACAGATAGTTTTGCTAGATACAGAATTCTATGGATATATTGGATATAATTTTCCTGCCAAATTGTGAAAGCATTAGTACTTCATTGTCTTCTGGCCTCTGGTGTTAAGGCTGAGAAATTCATTGCCATTTTGATTCTTGATCTTTTGGCATAAAACCTCTTTTGTTTGTCCTCTCCCCCAAAGGTTCTTTGCTCCATCCCAAGTTTTCTGACATCTCATATGTGCTTTGGTGAGGGGCCTGTTTTCACCCATTTGTTCTGGACACTCTTGGCCTCATTCATCCTTCAGTTCTTGAAAAATGATCTTGACTTAATTACCCTCAGTTTTCTCTGTTCTCTCATTCTAGCAACTACTATTATTTTGAATTGAACTCCTGAACCAGTCCTCTCATTTTCTTAACTTGGTGTTCCTCTTTGCCATTTGTCTCTTTCCTTATCTCTTTCTTCCTCCCCCTGCCTCCTCACCCTTCACTCTTGCTGTCTTTTTCTGCTTTCTGATATATTTGACCAACTTTCATCTTCTGTTTTTTGCTGGGCAGGGGTGGAGGGGCGGTGCAGTTCCTTTGAATGTTCTTCTTCCAAAGTCATTTTAGTGGCATTCAGGGTGAAAGAAAAATTACATGCATATATTTAATCTACCATCTTAAATCACAAGTTTCTTTTTATTCCATTTGTATTGAGGTGGTTTTCATATGATTTTGATTCAGTATAAGAATCAAATTGCTATATTTGTTTTAGGACCTCATAAACTTAGATGCATCTTCTTATAACAAGTATAAGGATTCCCTCTCTGCTGAATCCTTATAAAGAGGCACCCACTCTCACGTAAGCACATGTGCATACACACATAAAAATACAAATTAAAAAAACAGTTCTGTGCATTTCAGTGATGTGGAAAAAGGCAGTGTTTTTCAGTGTTCAAGATAAATTATAGCCATCTTATACCTCCATGTGCATTCATCCCTTAAATCGGTTCCAGCCAGTATCTGGTTGAAAGCAAAACCAGAGCTAATATAGTGCATATGAAGAGATTTTGAAAACATTCATCCTTTATCCAAATTTTAGATAATGTTCTTTTTAATGCTTCTGCAATTGTTATTCCTCTGGAAGCCAAAGAAAAGGTAACTTTTCTATATTCTGTAATTTTTTTAGAATTTCTGATTTTGAAAAGAAAGCCAAGGATCATTCTGAGACTGAGACCCAGACAGAGGAGCACACAGAACAAGAGAAAGAAGAGGAGAAAGACACCAAAACTGTGGGTACTCAGAGTCTACGACTGTTACCACACTCTCAGTGGATGGAGGGTAGTGAGGGCATAGGAGCCAAGTCATGTGATATGTGGCTTTAGAAATAGAGAAACAATTTTTCATGTTGAATATTTTCTATTTCTTTCTTGTTTCCTTGTCCTGATCTGAATTTCACTCACTGTAAATTGCAGTGAGATGTATTCCTATCCCAGTGATTCTAGGAAATCACTCCTTTATCTCTTCTTGACTGATTTCCTCTCCAGAATTTCTAAGTAAACAGGCCCACAAATTGAGAAAGGAATTTTGTCCAATATATAATGAAATCATTTGAGGATATGATCCAGAAACCTCAGGTAGGATTGAAGGGTCTTTGTTCTCTCCCACTACTCATTTGAATATAATAGTTTGAACAAGAAAGACATTTGTTTACATACATATTTATATACACTTGTGTGACAACTCAGAAACATGCCTTGTAACCTGCGAACATGGTCAGAAGCTTAGGGAAAGGTGATGAGGGCAGGAAGTTGTAAGACCCACAGTAGCCCACAAGAAAGGCATTTACATGAAACACTCAGTTTAGCTAAACTACTCAGCAAGCCTGTATCAGATGCCTGCTGTACGCCATGCTCTGAGCTGAGTCCCCTGCCTTCAAGAGAATGGAGAATATGTTAAAAACTGAGATGAAGAGACCAAAACTAATCAACAACTAATGACAGAGAAGTACTGAGACTTCCCTGGCACAGTAAAACTCATTGACCAAACTTCTAGAGCTGCCAGGAAGAAGCCAGTACAGTGAAAACAGCTGAGTAAGCTAGAAACGCGAAACAGTGAGGGAATGTGGGCGTGAGCTGCTAGCTGGGTAAAGTAGATTGTGCTTTGACAGCACCGTGATCTATGCTCCCCTGAAGTGTGGTCAGGGTCCATTTGATTATGACAAAGACATTATCACAAGAGTATCCAAATTGATCAGTTAATGCTCTATGAGGAAACAGAGTTGTATCCAAAGCTTTTTTTTTTTTCCATACAAGATATTTGGTGCTGCTGCTGTGCTAAGTCACTTCAGTCGTGTCCGACTCTGTGCGACCCCATAGATGGCAGCCCACCAGGCTCCCCCGTCCCTGGGATTCTCCATTTGGGTTGAATCTCCCTGGGATTCTCCAGTGAGTTGCCATTTCCTTCACCAGTGCATGAAAGTGAAAAGTGAAAGTGAAGTCGCTCGTTGTCCGACTCTTAGCAACCCCATGGACTGCAGCCTACCAGGCTCCTCCATCCATGGGATTTTCCAGGCAAGAGTACTGGAGTGGGGTGCCATTGCCTTTTCCAGATGTTTGGGGCATTAAGTGCCAAAAGTTTAATCAGTTCACAGTCTTAGTTAGACGCCAGTGGTTCACACAGTTTCCTCACAAAGAGGTTCATTTAAGTTCTAATAAGTGCATGTTTGGATTTCCTGGATGACAGATTGGAAGTGAAGTGGAAACACTGAACCTTCAGGTGACAACCCTGTTTAAGGAGCTTCAGGAAGCTCACACGAAACTCAGTGAAGCTGAGCTAATGAAGAAGAGACTTCAAGAAAAGTAAGAATGAGAGATAATGTTCAAAGAGTGTACTGTTTAACAAAATGTTAATATACAAAAACATCATTTTGTTACTGTGTTACTGAATCAAAGAAAAAGACACCTAATTGAAATATGAATTCAGAAAACACCAATGTTCCAGTTAATATGTAACCATGAAGTCCTTGGGGGAATGGACCCAGGGGACTCTGATTCTGCTTTTCGGGGGCCTTTTAAGCATATATGAGGACCTGGAAAAAACAGTAAGCCAGACTTCCTGTGACTTATGTAAGCTGACAAAATTTATGTGAACAAACATAAAAGAAAGCTACGAAGGGCACGAGGAACCTTAGTGAGATTTATTTAGGGAGAAAAAAAAAACTTGATTTTCTATCAGTTATGAAGGCTAATATCTAAATTGAGAGAATTTTGCATCTGCTTGTTTCTCTTGATGTAAGGAGTTGCCCCAAATTTAGAAAAGCTAAATTGATGTTGTTCTCTTAGATTAATTGGCAAGCATATTTCCGGCACAATATACAAATGTATGTTTCTGTGGAGTTACACTAACCAAGGCTCTACAGTATTATGGACAGCATAGCAGCTGATAGAAAGGACTTTGGATAAACAGACCCAGGTTGAAATACAGATTTACCCCTTATTTGTGATATTATCTTGGGCAAGTTATTTATTTAACCTCTCTGTGCCTCAGTTTTATCATCTGTAAACTGTGTGTCATAACTCAAACTTTGTATTAAGTAAGCTAATGTTTAACATGCTTTTTGCATTAATGTCTTACACACAGCAGTCATTGGCTCATTTTGCTCTTGTTATATTGAAATTCTCATTCTGATCTTTAATAGAACTTAAAGCACTTCCTTCTCTCCTACTGAATCTTTGTCAGAAACCATATTTTTTGTACTTGAGCCTATAAGTTTCTTTTATAAAAATCTGTATATTTTTATATTCAGTCATAACAGTTCAGAAACACTTCTAGTAAAAAAGGAGGAAGGATAAAATATTTAATTTTGTACTGTTAAATTTTTGAAGAATGTCATCATGAAATTCTTTGTATTTGCTACATAATCTGAGAATCTGTTTAAAAGCCACTGAGAAATGTGAAGGAGCATTGTTTGTCCTCATGAAATTTTGCTCTTTCTTAGATGTCAGGCTCTTGAAAGGAAAAATTCTGCAAGCCCATCAGAGCTGAATGAAAAACAAGAGCTGGTTTATAAAAACAAAAAATTAGAGCTCCAAGTAGAAAGCATGCGATCAGAAATCAAAATGGAACAAGCTAAAACAGAAGATGAAAAGTGAGTGTGCAATGACTGGATAGCTACTTGCTGAAATAAGATAGAAGAGCAGTTTTATGCGATTGGGATCAGGATTTAAGAATAAATTTATTTTTTGTCTTTTGTTTATTTGAAGGAGAATCAGTAGACTTTTTTGAAGAGATAAAGTTTAAGTTTTATTTTAACAATTATGAAAATAATTTGTAGTCTATCTTGATTATTTGAAGAAAAACCATTTTCTTTGAGAGTAAGAATATGCTAGTAGGTGGTAGGATTATAAAGGTGGAAGAGATTTGCTACTTGAGTGTTCAGTTGGGAGGCAAGACTAAGTTTCTATGTATTTTCCCCAGATTTCCTTTTTAATTTCTTTTTAAATAGGTCCAAATTAGGCACTCTACAGTTGACACACAACAGGCTTCTTCAAGAATACAATAACGCACTGAAGACAATTGAGGAACTAAAAAGGAGAGAGGTACTCATAGAAAAAACAAATTACTTTCATAGCCTAGTAGTGAATGGAACTACTGAACATTTTATGTAAATATGTGAGGTAGTTGTGTTAATCCTTAACTAAGTCTGGTTTCAAAGGTTTTTTCCCATTTATATCAGTAATTGATTTCTTGTGTCTTAAGTGTTCATGACTCCTGCCGCATATGTATAATTTGCCATGTAGCCAAAGATGGGGTGCACGTCTTATGGTCATGAAGTAAGCTGTTAGCATTTCTAATGGTGGGTGAGTTTGCAGGAGAGCTGAGTATGGGCTCCTACATGAGTAATGGATGTATAGTGAGACTGCTGCTGGGAGCTCTCACAAGGCTAGCTTGCCTCTGTCAGTGAGCTTGAGACCCTGGACTTACTGGGCTGCAACTTAACTTAGTAATAATGTCCCCAGCATGGTGTGATAGTTTAAACACCATGGATAGATACGTCAGATGAGAGATGAATTAATGAACCCAATCGGGGGAACCTTTTCACGGTATATTTGTATATCAAATCATCACATTTTACACTTCAAATATTTTACAATTTTGTCAGTTTTACCTCAGTAAAGCGGCAATAAGTAAAGAGCAGGGGAGCTTTGAATTAGAAGGGGTCTTTGAGTTTATAGTCTTAAAAATATACTTTGTTTTTCATTTAATTTTCCTAGAATATGGTTCCTCTCTGAAGACCTAGTAAATTTTTAATTTAAGCCTTCATGTTACATTTTACTAAAATAGGTTGAATTATTTCAAAACCAAGTCCAGAATAAGCTTATCTTTTTCAGTCAGAAAAAGTGGATAAGGTGGTGCTGCAGGAACTGAGTGGGAAGCTGGAACTGGCAGAGAAGGCCCTGGCTTCCAAGCAGCTCCAAATGGATGGGATGAAGCAGACCATCGCCAAGCAGGAGAAGGACCTGGAGACCATGGCCGTCCTCAGGGCTCAGGTAGCCTGTTCCCAAGCGGGAGCCGAGGGGGGCCGACCTTGACTATATCCTCAGACAAGAGAGTGGTGGTGCTGAAGATATATATTTTTGATATTACACTATTTCCACTAATATATGTTTTAAAAACCTTTTTACTGAAGTTTATCACATGTGGAAAGCATACCACACTTCTAAGTGTATTGCTCATTAAATTCATCCATTCTACAGTTGATGGACAGCTGGATCATTCTCAGCTTGGGAATGATGTTTAATGTTGCTCTGACATTCTTATGCAAGTCTCTTTATTCACTGGTGCATTCATTTCTGTTGGGTGCACACCTAGGAGCAAAACTGCTTGTTCCTAGTAGGCAGGTTACTCAGTGTTGACTGATAATGCCAAAGAGGTTTCCAGAGTGGACGTACCTACCAGTTTTCACTCCCATCAGCAGAGAGTTCCTATTGCTCTATATCCACCTTGACCCATACTTGTATTATCAGTATTTTAATTTTTAAACATTCTGATGAGTTTATAATGGTGTCTCATTTAATTTGCATTTCCCTGCTGGTTTGAACGTGTACTTTTTGAAATGTTTACTGGCCTTTTAAGGATCTCCTTTTGTGAAGTGCCTAATCAGGTCTTTGCCCAGCTTTCTTCTGGTTTGCTGGCTTTTTCTTAATTTTATAGGAGTTCTTTATATATTCCAGATATAAGCCCTTGGCAGTGCTTTTTGCAGATTTCTTCACTCTGTGATTTGCCTTTCCACTCTCATGAGCATGTCTTTTGATGAACAGAATTCTTAATTTTAATGTAGTCTAGTTTATCAGTCTCTTCATTTATGATGATAGTACTTCTGTGTCCTGTTTTAAATGCTTTCATTACCTCAAGGCTATGAATATATTCTCCTGTGTTGACTTCTAAAAGATTTATGGTTTTGTCTTTTACATTAAGATACAAAAATATTTGAAATTAGATTTTCTATATGCAGTGAAGTAAGGGTAAAGATTCATATTTTTTTTTCTACATGAATATCCTATTCATTTGGCACTGTTTATTTAAAAGGTTGTCTTTTCTTAAGGACTCTGTTGCCCTCTTTGTCACATATTATGTCAATGTACCCACAGGTCTGTTTCTGGATTCTACACTGTTCCATTGGTCTGTTTGTACATTGTTGGTCTGGTACATACTGTCTCATTATAAATAATCAAATGTTTTGATGTCTGGTAGAGTTAGTCTTCCTACCACCTCATTGCTTGTGTAATTAAAACCAGGATCATGCCATACATATTATACTACTTTTTCATTCCTGATCTATATTGGATATCTCTCCATGTTATTACTCACAGCCATATGTACTTTTTAAAATAGTTGTATGGTGTCCAAAGTGTGCATTACCCTGATATATTTAACCAGCCCTCTATTAATGGACATGTAGGTTGTACCAATATTTTTGCTTTTTATCAACAATGTTGAACTGAATATTCTTATATGTATATCTTTGTGCTTTTGTGGAATCTCTAGTAAGATACAGAAATGGAATGGTTTGGTCATTGGGTTAGATTGTTTTTAAGTTAAATAACTATTTCCAAGTTGTCTTCTGGAAGTCCATAATCAAAATTTTTTACTCACCAAAAGTAGCTGAAAGCCCCTATTTCCCTACATCCTTGCATTACTCTTTTAAACGTTTGCCAAACTGATAAGCATTATTTTCAATGTAATAATACCAGAAGTTTACTATTCCCTATATACATACTCATTACCTGCTGCCCATAGTGGCTGGCCTAGTGAAATATAGGAGTGGTTGAATGGACTTACAGCTTTAGTTTTATTTCTATAGGAATAGAATTTCAACCTGAGCTCTTTTAGGTATTTTCTTTGATTGGGCCTGATACTGTAGTTATAGGCTTCCCTGATAGCGCAGCTGGTAAAGAATCCACCTGCAATGCAAGAGAACCTGGTTCAATTCCTGGGTCAGGAAGATCCGCTGGAGAAGGGATAGGCTATCCACTCCAGTATTCTGGGGTTTCCCTGGTGTCTACCTGGTAAAGAATATGCCTGTGATGTGGGAGACCTGGGTTCAATCCCTGGGTTAGGATGATCCCCTGGAGAAGGGAAGGGCTACCCACTCCAGTATTCTGGCCTGGAGAACTCCATGGACTGTATATCTCACAGGGTTGCAAAGAGTCGGACATGACTAGCAACTTTCACTTTTCACGGCTTTGGTTTTATTTCTACAGGAATAAAATTTCACCTTGAGCTTTTTCAGGCATTTCCTTTGATTGAGCCTGACCCTGGAGCCATGTACTTTTGCCACAGTCTATACGGAGATGTTTGCTTTGTTTTGATGGATACTCTTGTTCATTCACTCAACAACTCCTTTTGAGCACTTATAATTAATGTCAGACACAGTTCTCATTGTTGGGGATATAGAGATGGACAAAACAAAGGCCTAGGTCTTACTGGCTCAAACCTAATGATGTGATGGAAATGAGATCCTAACTCAGATTTATGTCTGACTCAAAAAAGCCATGATCTACCAATGAAAACCATAAAATGTTAGAGCACTCACAAATGGCAGGAAGTCCCTTAAAATGATCTATTTCATACTTTTTTTGGCAACTAAAATTGTGATTAGAATAGTCAAATGTTTATTAACTTTTTAAAATAATAGATTAAAAAAATATATCCTAGAACCACTAAATCTGAAAAGGAAAACCTAATTGAAAATATAGAAGGTTAAAAACTGGTATTAAAATAATGCTCAGTTCACTATTAAGGCATTCGTTTTTACTTTATAATTTTTTAACAGTGAAGAAATCACATATTATAGCATAACATTTATTTATTTAGAGGTAACAGACTCTTCTCCTAATGAAGCTGCTAAAGCAGCAAGCATCTATCATCTCAGTTGCTATGGCTCTGGAGTCCAGGAGCAGCTCAGCTGGGTGGTTCTGACTCGGGGTCTCTCGTGAGGCTGCACTGAGGGTGAGCGTGAAGATCTGTTTTCAGGATGGCTCACTCACATGGTCACCGTCATCATGCTGGTTTCCAGCAGGAGCATGCACCTGTTGTTAATATTTGTAAGACATGCCACAGGATGTAGCGCAGCCTCTTCCACTTATCAGCAGATAGGCTGTTAGAGAATCCACATTTGTCTGGGTAGTAACTTCTCTTTTTTTTTCCCTCTAACAGATGGAGGTTTATTGTTCTGATTTTCATGCTGAAAGAGCAGCAAGAGAGAAGATTCATGAAGAAAAGGAGCAGCTGGCATTGCAGCTGGCAGTTCTGCTGAAAGAAAACAATGATTTTGAAGATGGAGGCAGGTAAATGAGGGGAAGACTTGGAGCACAGATCACCCAGGTTGTGGGAGAGGGACCCACAGTATTTTAGCTGTTTGAGCTCCAAGACTCACTTTGAGTACTCCTGGCCTGACAGTGTTCCTGATACTTGGTTTGCTTTAAAAGGCTTGGCAGTATCTTGTGGGAACCTGATTGAGTTTCTGCTTCTAGATAAATTGTAAAAGCATGATAATATGGGTTCCAGTCATATCCTGCCATTGTCATGGATGAAATATTCCTAACACTTTAAGTAATTCTGTAATATGTTTTACAAGAAAATACTGCTAAAATTACTTCTATCTTTAGAAATTTCCTTTTGAGAACAAAATATAGAGGAGTAAGAAACAGAAAAATACAAAGAATAAAATAACACACACCAGGGTATGTATGTTAGTTGCTCAGTCATGTCTGACCCTTTGCAACCCCATGGACTGTAGCCCACCAGGCTCCCCTGTCCATGGAATTCTCCAGGCAGGAATACTGGAGTGGCTTGCCATTTCCTTCTTGAGGGGGTCTTCCTGACCCAGGGATCAAACCCAGGTCTCCTGCATTGCAGGTGGATTCTTTACCATTTGAGCCACCAGGGAAGCCAATATGTACCCATCGAGGATTGACAGTTACTAATACTTCTTTTATTTGCTTCAAGTATATTTTTATAAAAAGAAGAAAGAACTGTAGATGAAGTTGCAGTCTCCTTTCTCCCTATCCCTCAGTATCATCCTCTGTCCCTCTCCCACAGTGCCTGGAACTCATGTGTAGCATCTCCAGCTGTTTTGTATTTTTGCATATATACACACCTATATAATATCTTAAAACAAGGTAATATTAATTTCTTAGAGCAAGGTGCATAGGTTACAGAATGGCCACTAAAGGTATTATTCTGCAACTTGTTTTATATATATAACTGATTTTGAACTCTCTCTCTATATATATAAATCTGTATGTATATGCAGATTTAATTCATTATTTGCTTTGTTGTGTCCTGCTTTAGAAATATGCCACTTTTTTCCAACCTATTCCCCATTGATTGACATTCTGTTTATTTCCTGATTTTTAAAAAATCATATTTACTACATTGTGTCCTAGTGCCAGTGATATTTAAAACTCAAATTACTCTTAAGTTCTAATTTCTGTGAACCTTGGCTTTGTAGTTTACCTCTTTTTTCTGACACCTGTGTTGAATGCCTGCTTAATGTTGTCATATTTCAAGGTTTCGCAGATAGCATTGCTTTTTATCCCAGCAGGCAGACCTTAATGGAAATGCAGAGCCGTCACGGGGCAAGAGCAAGTGACGCTGACCAGCAGGCTTATCTCGTTCAAAGAGGTGAGTCACGTGTGATGCCAAGTGGTAGAGGTTCCATGGGTTTGCTATCCTGTGAAGAAGATGCTTGAAGGAAAATTGCACTACATTCTATATACACTAAAATCTCACTACATTCTATATATTCTAGGTCAAGTTACCAAAAATACAGCAAAAATCAGTCTTATTTCCAGAGTACCCCAAACTCCATCCATTCCCTCCTGAATCCAGACCAGACTCTTCACACTGGCAGTTAACAGCTGGCATAGCCAAAATTCTAAGCCTTCTCTCACGCTGTTCCCCTATGGATATTAGCCAACAGAATCACTCACTGTTCCTTGAACTTGTCCTAAACTTATACACCTATGTGTACTTGCTTATGTGGTATCCTTCATATAGAGGCCCTTCCTTATTCCTACAGTCTCTTTCCAGTGAACTCTTACCCCATCTTTAAAACCCATTTCAAATACCATCCCCATGAATCCAACAGAATGTGACCTTTCCCTCCTCAGTTTCCAAAGTACTTTATTTCTGTTCCAGTACTTATCTGCTATTTTATAGTTACTTATGTGTTCTAAATATGCACTTAAGTACTCTATTAAATAAGCCCCTGCAGAGCTGAATCCTCACCCAATACCTGGTGTTATGCATATAGTAAGGTTATCATTTATTGAGAGTTTACTATGTGCTGGTGCTATGCTGATCACTTCATACAAATTACTTCATCTGATCCTCACAAAATCCCATCAGGTATATTGTATCACCATCTTCCAGAAGACAAGGTTCAATAACCCAGGATCACAAGGCTTCTAAGGGGCAGAACTGAACATGGAGCCCAAGGTTATCTAACTCTTCGCCACTACACAGTACTACATGTAATAAGCCTGTCACTATGTTCTATATCCAGATTTTAATCCCCTGAGTGAAATTGATCATAATATTTATACAAAATATAGTGCTGTGTTTATTACATGGTTTTAATACTCCAGGAATAATGTTCTGTCATTTACAGTAAATTATGTCACTGAAAGGGAAGTATTATCCTTGAGTCTAGATAGGAAAAAACATAATAGTCAAAGGATCAAAGACTGACATAGCTAGATGAAAGGTTAATAGCAATGCCACTAAGAAGAATCAGATGTTATCTGATTTGATTAGATGTTATCCAAAAAAAAGATGTTATCTAAATTTTACATAAAACTGATTCTTAATTTTTTATTGCTAGATCAGTCTGAATCCCTTCCACATACCAACTGACCACTGAAATGGAACTATCAGTGTGGTTATCAACAGCAAGGAAGCAATATAGTAGGTATAGTTCACTGTTAAATTGTAGCAAAAGTTTTCAGAGCATCCCTTCTACCGCCTGTCTCTGCCAATGCCCCTGCCAAAGTCCTTATACAGGAAAAAACAGATTAAAGTAAATATTAGAGGTAGTGATTCAGGTTAAAAATACACATTAAAAAAAATTCCAAAAAGATACATATAGTATTCATGGGGCATATGCAGGAGCACAGTGCATGCTAAGTCACTTCAGTTGTGTCCAACTCTTTGCAACCCTAAGAACTGTAGCCTGCCAGGCTCCTCAATCCATGGGATATTCCAGGCAAGAATACTGGAGTGGGTTGCCATGTCCTCCTCCAGGGGATCTTCCCAACCCAGGGATTGAACATTGGCAGGCAGGTTCTTTACCACTAGCACCCCCTGGTGGTGGGGGGGGGGGTACCCAACAGGAGCATAGGCACTGGTCTAAACATTAGCCTTAGGCATTTTTTAGGATCAGAAGAGAAAGTGGCATCTACCCACTCGTGCACTGCCAGGCCTTTTCTCTAAGCTGAATTTAAATATCCTAGGAATACCCATATATCTCCTATCTACAAGTACCTCCAAGATTGTCTTGGTTCAAAAAAAGGACAGTTCTTACACCTAGATTTCTCAGGAAATTTTTTCTTTCTCATAACTATATAAGGCAAATATCTATTTACACTTAGGAAAATAAAAGAAAACTGACCAAACTCTCTTTGGCTTATATTTATAATCTAAAACTCGCCACAAAATACAAATGTATTCATAATTATCCTCATAAGTTTTTGGTCGTATAAGTAACAATATTCCAAACAGAGATTGTCCTAAAATTTTTTGTTTGTTTCCTAACAAAGCAGCCTTAAACAGTATAACTCCTCTCAGTGTTATTTCATTGTGGTTGTCCTCTGGCCTAGGGCACTTAGCTGAGCATGAGGGAACAGGCGAGCATAAAGCACAGTCAGATCCGTGAAGGCCTGTGATCTAGTTGGACAGGATATGCATGTAACAAGATGAATTCATAATATAACAAGGGACAGAAACAATAGTGCTGGAGATAAGAGGAAAGGATGACACCAGAGGGCCAGGAGGCTTGAGAAAGGCCTTGGAAAGATGTGACTGTAAGCTTCACCTGGAAGCCATAACTTCTGTATAAGAATAAAAGGGCAAAGGCAGAAATGAGTGTGGTGCGTAAATAAGGAAAACTGACTCAGCTTATTTTACAGTGAAGAGCCAGGAGGTGGAGGGAACCATTAGCTGAGTGATACAACAGCCTAAGTCTGCATCTTGAAACCTAAACAAGGTTTCAGGACAAAAAGAAAGGTGCCAACGGATGCCATAAAGTTTAAAGGGATGAATTAACAGTCCCTGATAAGTGGCTGCTTGTCATCTAGAGCAGATTTTGACAAACTGCAGCCTACAGGCCAAAACTGGTCTGTCAGCTGTTTGAATAAGTAAAGTTTTATTGCAACATAGTCATGCCCTCTTGTTGACATACTGTCTGGCTACTTTCTTGCAACAGTGGCAGTTGAGTAGTTATGCCAGAAATTTATGACCTGTAAAGCCTGGAATACTTATTCTCTGGCCCTTTACAGGAAAAATTTACTGCCCCTAATCTAAAACAATGAGACCATTAGCAAGCCCACTGCTTCAGAAATCATGCCTTGTGATCAGTATTTCTATTCAAAGTTGCTTCTATAGTTTGCTGGACACAAACTATCCATAATAGTCTCCCGTGTTATTCAATTCAAATAATATGCTCAGAAGTAGATAATAATTTTAAACATTACCTCCACTGTCATCTGCAAAAACAAACATTTGGGGGGACCTGAACAAGTCTAGCGACCTGGGCAGAGATACTAAAAAGTTAAAAATGGTTTGCATCAGTGCAGCAAGGTTAGATCAAAGAGGTGTCCTGGGAACCAGAAATCATTTCCTGCACGGAGTATGGTTCGCACACGTGGGACCTGCCAACAGTCAAGGCTTGTTTTGAGCATTCTCTTTTATATATTTATTTTTAATTGTTGATGTTTGTTTTATAGTATTGTGTTGATTTCTGGTATACGTCAAGCATTCTTTGATTTAGACTTGAACCTCAGTCCAACTCCAACATTGAGGGAAATGACAGGACTCTTTCTTCAGTCCCTTCACACTTCTTTGCCTGGATAACTCTTCATTCTTAAAACTCTTCTCACATGTGGAATTGATCTCAACAGGGGAGCCTGTCTGCACCAAGCAGTCTGAGCCCTTCTCTGCCCTGCCAGGAAACCAACTGTGGCGCTTCTGGCACGCCCCACCCGTCGCTCACTCTTCTTGCCTGACGTCCCCATGATGTCTGTATCCCTCTCCCCCCTGCCCCAGGTGCTCAGACACAACTGCTGAATGACCCTAATTGCTGTCTCCACTTCTGAGAAGCTACCTACTGTTCCGGATCCCTCTCAGTGTTCTGCTTGCCGTCTTCCCACATTCTCTCCTTCCCTTTCACTTACATCCTCGTCTCTTTTCTTCTCTCAAATATCCTAGTTTTTACTAGAACATGTATTGTCCTATACCTGGAACTGAAACCACGTTTTCATATACCTAGAACCTTGAATAGAGGCTAAATCCTAATATCACAGGGAAGCAGGCACTGCTTCTGGAGATTTTTTTTTTCTGTGTGTATAGATTTCTTCAGTTAAAGACTGAAAAACCTGTGTTCATTTCCCACGAGGTATTGATTACAAAGTTTACCTGAACATTAAAATTAACAATCTGTTATTAAAAACTGCTTGCACTATGGAAGGAATGGATTAACATTTCATTTAATGGTTCTTCCCAGGAGCCGAGGATAGAAACTGGCTGCAGCAGCAACAGAATATTCCAATTCATTCTTGCCCCAAATGTGGAGAAGTTCTGCCCGACATAGATACACTACTGATTCATGTTACGGACTGTATCATTTAAGTGTTGACCTTTCACCTCCCCCAAGCTGTTGGTAAATCTCATTTTTTTTTTCCTCCAAGAGTTGTACTTTTGTGTCATTTGTTTCATGCAACTATTTTGGCTCATTATTTTTATTTTAGGAGAAAGAAAAATCATGTTCTATAAAGGACATTTTGGAGCACATTTCCATAACTCACAAAATAGAATCTTTAGCATACCACTCTTCTGATAACAGGCTCGTTGTTTTTAATATTTAATTGATGTGAGCACTGAACTGTTCATGCAGGTAATGAGCATATGACATCATGGATGGAGTAAAGGTGGTAATAAGATGGAAGACGCCTCACTGATTAGAACCTTCTAGGGAGGCAGGAAAAATGAAATGGTCACAGATTTAATTGAGAAAAGTGTCTTTGAAGTATTTTTAAATAAATTATATTGTTATCTTTCTTTATCCATTTAAGACAGATCTATTTGGGGTTGTGTATATGTGTATATCTTACAGTTTTATTTCAAGCACAGCACCAAAGTTATGATGTGGCTCTTTTCAGATGAGCCCTGTGAGCTTTTACTTGATCATCAGGACAAGTGAAAAACTACTGGCCTACACAAAGCAAATACATCAGGTTCACTGGATTTCATGTAACCATCCACAGTGTAAAGTTCCCTTTTCCTTCCCTTGTGATGCAGGTACATGTTATCTACTATAGAGTAGATAGTATATGAATTTCTAAAAAGAATGGCTATCAATTTTCTTCCTGGATCAGGCTCTATATTCATAATCACAAAAATAGTTACTGCAAAATAAAATTTTCTTTATGAGTCTTACACATTGTTCATATGTGGTTAGCTAATTTCACAGGATGTGTTTTCTGTATTCAGCTTTACATAAATTTAATACTTATTCAGATCTGTCTTGTTAATTCCATGAATATAAGCAAAATCTCTTTATTAGAGACCAGTAAGTGTTGTTTGAGTTAGAAATTGTTCTTTATAGGAAGATGAAAAGATAGGGCTTTGCCATACTTTATAAATCTAGTTTACCAAGATGAGCTAATATTGGGCCACCCTTAGAAGTTACTAATATCCTTGTGTATATATATACTAAAACGTTTAAGAGAAAAGTTTAAAATTTCCTCTGTTTAGCTTTGTCCTAAGACTCTCTCCTAGACAAACCTGACTTGTGTGTGTGTGTGTGTGTGTGTATATATTTTAAACAGGAATTAAAACAGGTAATTACAGCTTCATTACAATAGAACACATTGCACAAACTCAATAGTAATTTAGATTTCCCTACCTCATCCCATGGAGAATGTTTGTTTAAGACATTTCTAAAATAACTATTGAAATTTTAATTTATTTATAGTTTCTAGTTTAACATTTTTTTCCTTATTACTTTATATTGGAGTAGATAAATTTCTATAGTATCCTAAATAGAAAACAAACCAAATGGTTCCACCCTTAAGTTATTTGCAATACCCTTTTGCTTTGTTCAAGTAAAAATATTAATCTGATGCCGATGTGAAGTAACAGTGTGAATGTGCTTATTAAGTCTGGGATCAAATTGTTTCCTTAGTAATTAGGACTGCAGGTGAAGGCAAGTTCATATGGTGAAGTTAAATTAAGGCTACTGTTTGGGTGGACTCAAACAGTTTGGTAAACAACTTGTAAAATCTACACATGTCTTGTTCCATTAATTTCATCTTCAAAGGCCTTGTTCTAGATTACCGGTTAACTATACTTCATTGGAATTTTGGCCATGCTTTTACCTTGTATGGCTTAATGGGAATAACAGAAAGATGGGAACTGTGAAGAAATATAAATGAGCAAATGAAAATGTCACATGTAATAATTTTACAGAATTCAGTCTTCAGATATTACACGTAAAAGTAATTTTGATCTGGTCTGGTATGTAAGGAGTTTGGACATCATCACTCCTATCCTTATAATAAGAAAAAAAACTGAACGAACTTAAAGTCATCAATGCTTTTTAAATCCTTCAGAGATCTGAGGTCACAGGGCAAACCTCTGTTCCCAAATTGGAGAGACAGACAGGCATAGAGTGTCACTGATTACAGGACCAAGGTCTCAGAAGCAGAAACCACGGGAGGAGCAAGTACCTGAGCAAACAAACTTAAAGCTATTATTGAAGAATTGCTAAAGTCTCACATGGATGAACTCAAAAGTTAAAAATTCTAGAGGGAGCAGAGTCTTGGGGGGGACCCCTGAAGTTTTGTGAATTTTACTTCCACGAGCCCTACCAGATTCTCACAGTAAAGATTAGAAAAAAAAACTCCCCTATAATTGCAGCAGGGGGAGGGGAAAAGTAGACATTCAAAAAGACACCAGAACATTCTGCTCTTCTTAAGAAGGCCTGCCCTCAAGGGAGACTCTTTCACCTGAGCCTAACTAGCTGGGAAGTTATCAGAACCTAAGAAACCTGGGGAAACAGATATACCCAACTTCTGCCCCTTCTAGCCTTATTCTTCTCACCGAAGGAGAAGGGAAAATACTTGTAAAGGTCACAGCCCAGAGGCACAGTCTCACAAAAAGAGTGATCATAGACCTATAGAATGCGTCCCCTCCCCACAACACCTCACCATCATATTAACAGGGCTCCTGTATAACAACAATGGGTTACAACGGAAAGAATTGCACAATCTTCAACTTTCTCTTAAGAAGTCTGTAAGGAAACCCAGAGACAACAATGGAGACAAAAGCAAGGACATCAGAGGAAATTTTAGCATATGACACTTAGAGCTGCAGCAAACAATAAACATGGCCCAACTGCTCACGAGATAAACAAACAAGCTCAAACTAAAGGCCTGTGTACCGTAGTTCTTTCTTACCTAGTACATCATGTTCAGTGTTCAACAAAAAAATGATAAAGCATGGTAAAAGACAAAAAAACCCACACAGTTTGTAAAGATAGAGAACGCATCATAACCAAACTCAGGCATAATGATATAAGCATGGGAATTTAAAGCAACTGCAATTAATATCCTATAGGCTCTAATGGAAGAAAATTGCAATATGTAGGAACAGAGGGGTAATGTAAGCAGAGAGATGGAAATGCTTAAGAAAAAGTCAAAAGGAAATACTAGAAATGAAAAATCCTGTAACAGAAATGAAGAATGCCTACAATGGGCTTATCAGAAAACTGACCATGGCTGACGAAAGACTCAGTGAGCTTGAAGAAATGTCATGAGAAACTTCCAAAACTGAAAAGCAAATAGAAAAAGAAATTAAAAAAAAACAATATCCAAGAACTGTGAGATAGTTATAAAAAGCATAACAAATGTACAATGAAAATACCAGGTAGGAGAGAAGGGGACAGAGGAATGTCTGAAGTAATAATGGCTGAGAATTTTCAAAAATTAATGACAGGCACAAACCACAGATATAAGAAACTCGGAGAACGTGACTTGAGATAAATGCCCCAGAAATCTTCACCTAAGTATATCATGTGCAAAAGGCAGAAATTCAAAAGCAAACAAAATTTGTTTGAAAGAAGCCAGAGGGAAAAAGTCTTACCTGTAGAGGAGCAAGGATAAGAGGTACGTGAGACCTCTTCAGCAGCCGTACAATCAACAAGAAAGCGGAGTGTGAAAAACCACCAATCTAGAATTCTGTGTGTATTGAAATCATCTTTCAAAAGTGAAAGAGAAGATGACAGGCAGATGACGTCTGTTGCCAGTAGACCAGCTTTGGAAGAAATATTAAGTTCGTCAAAGAAAAGGAAAATTATATAGATCAGAAACTCAGATCTGCATAAAGAAAAAAAGAGCATTAGACGATGTTGTTTTAGTTGCTAAGTTGCGTCTCTTTGTTACCCTATGGACTGTAGCCCACCAGGCTCCTCCGTCCATGGCATTCCCCAGGCAAGAATACTGGAGTGGATTGCCCTTCCCTTATCCAAGGGATCTTCCCAACCCAGAGATTGAACCCATGTCCCCTGCATTGGCAGGCTGATTCTTTACCACTGACCACCTGGGAAGCCCCAAGAGAAAGAATGCATGTAGATAAAGTCATTTATTTTTCTTATTCTTAATTAACAGACAATGGTTTCTTCAGAGTAACAACAGCTACATGTATTTGGTGATTATTTAATGGATAAATGAAATAAATGACAATAATATTTTAAGGGAAGGAATGAAGAATTGGGGATACTCTGTTACAAGGTATTTTCCCTACCCATGACGTGGTATACTATTCTTTGAAAGTGAACTTGGATTAGTAGTCAATGTATATTGCAAACTTTAGGGCACCCTCCCCCTTGCAAAAAAAAAAAGTTTTAAAAAAGAAGTATAATCGATATGCTAAGAGAAGAGAGGGCTTCCTTTGTGGCTCAGCTGGTAAAGAATTCGCCTGCAATGCAGGGCACCTAGGTTCAATCCCTGGGTTTGGAAGATCCCCTGGAGAAGGGAAAGGCTACCCACTCCAGTATTTTGGCCTGAAGAATACCATGAACTGTCCATGGGGTTGTATAAAGTCCAAAGAGTGAAGTCAAGTGGGCCTTAGGAAGCATCACTACCAACAAAGCTAGTGGAGGTGATGGAATTCCAGTTGAGCTATTTCAAATCCTAAAAGATGATGCTGTGAAAGTGCTGCACTCAATCTGCCAGCAAATTTGGAAAACTCAGCAGTGGCCACAGGACTAGAAAAGGTCAGTTTTCATTCCAATCCCAAAGAAAGGCAATGCCAAAGAATGTTCAAACTGCTACACAGTTGCACTCATCTCACACACTAGCAGAGTAATGCTCAAAATTCCCCAAGTCAGGCTTCAACAGTACATGAACCATGAACTTCCAGATGTTCAAGCTGGATTCAGAAAAGGCACCAGAGACCAAATTGCCAACATTCATTGGATCATTGAAAAAGCAAGAGAGTTCTAGAAACACATCGACTTCTGCTTTATTGAGTACACCAAAGCCTTTGACTGTGTGGATCGCAACAAACTGAGGAAAATTCTGAAAGAGATGGGAATACCAGACCACCTGACCCACCTTTTGAGAAGCCTATATGGAGGTCAGGAAGCAACAGTTAGAACTGGACATGGAACAACAGACTGTTTCCAAATAGGAAAAGGAGTACATCAAGGCTGTATATTGTCATCCTGCTTATTTAACTTATATGCAGAGTACATCACGTGAAATGCTGGACTGGATGAAGCCCAAGCTGGAATCAAGATTGCCAGGAGAAATATCAATAACCTCAGATATGCAGATGACACCACCCTTATGGCAGAAAGTGAAGAGGAACTAAAGAGCCTCTTGAAGAAAGTGAAAAACGAGAGTGAAAAAGTTGGCTTAAAACTCAACATTCAGAAAACTAAGATCATGGCATCTGGTCCTATCACTTAATGGTAAATAGATGGGGAAACAATGGAAACTGACAGACTTTATTTTGGGGGCTCCAAAATCACTGCAGATGGTGACTGCAGCCATGAAATTAAAAGACGCTTGCTCCTTGGAAGAAAAGTTATGGCCAACCTAGACAGCATATTAAAAAGCAGAGACATTACTTTGTCAACAAAGGTCCATCTAGTCAAGGCTATGGTTTTTCTAGTAGTCATGTATGGATGTGAGAGTTGGAATATAAAGAAAGCTGAGCACCGAAGAACTGATGTTTTTGAACTGTGGTGTTGGAGAAGACTCTTGAGAGTCCCTTGGACTGCAAGGAGATGCAACCAATCCATCCTAAAGGAGATCAGTCCTGAACATTCATTGGAAGGACTGATGCTGAAGCTGAGGTTCTAATACTTTGGCCACCTGATGTGAGGAGCTGACTCATTGGAAAAGACCCTGATGCTGGGAAAGATTGAGGGCAGGAGGAGAAGGGGATGACAGAGGATGAGATGGTTGGATGGCATCACTGACTCTATGGACATGAGTTTGAGTGAGCTCCGGGAGTTGGTGGAGGACAGGGAAGCCTGGTGTGCTGCAGTCCATGGGGTCACAAAGAGTCAGACGCAACTGAGCGACTGACCTGAACTGAAGAGAAGAGAGAAAATGGAGTAACTTAAATGCTGCATTAAAACCAGAAAAGTCAGAAATAGATTGAAAGATAACAGAAGAAACCAAGAACAAGGGCAATGAATAGAAAACAGTAAAAATGAGATAGATATTAATCCAATTACCAGGAATCAATTTAAACATCATTGGTCTAAATACACCAATTAAAAAACAAGCTTTAAGAGTGAATAAAAAAACAAGACTCACCTATATGGTGTATACAAGAAACCCACTTTGAATATAAAGACACATACACATTAAAAGTAAAAAGATGCAGAATAGCCAACACAGCACTGAGTGAGAACAGTTGGAGGATAACAGTAACTTCAAGACTTACTGTAAAACTACAGTAAAAACCAGTGTGGTACTGGTGAAAGAGCAGATAAATACATGAATGGAACAGAGTAGAGAGCCCAGAAATAGACCCAGAGAGTCCACTAGTCTTTGATAAAGAAGCAAAAGCAATTCCATGGAGAAAAGATAGTATTTTCAACAAACGCTGAAATGCTGGCACAATATCCAAATGCAAGAAAAAGATTCTAGACACAGACCTTACACCTTTCACAAAAACTAACTCAAGCCACAGACCAGGAATAAATCTTTACAAAACATATATCTGAAAAAAGACTGGTATGAAAATATCCAAAGAACTCTTAAAATGCAACATTAAGGAAACAGCCCAATTTTTTAAAGGACAGAAAGATAATACATACCTCACCAAAGATGTACAGTTGGCAAATACTGAAAGGATGCTAAACATCTTATGTCATTGAAAGTGAGTGTTAGTAGCTCAGTTGTGTCCGACTCTGCAACCCCATGGATTGTAGCCCCCCAGGCGTCTCTGTCCATGGGATTTCCCAGGCACGAATACTGGAGTGGGTTGCTGTGCCCTTCTCCAGGGGATCTTCCGGACCCAGGGGTTGAACCCGGGTCTCGTGCATTGCAAGCAGATTCTTTACCACTGAGACACCAGGGAAGCCCATATGTCATTAGGGGATTGGAAATTCCAGCAAGATACAATCACATACTTATTAGAATGGCTGCAAATTCAAAACAATACCACCAAATTCACCTGGGGAGTGTGTGGAACAACAGGAATTCATTGCTGGTGGAACTGCCGAATGGTACTTTGGAAGACAGTTCAGCAATTGTTGCAAAACTAAGCACGCAATCCTTGCTATTTACCCAGATGAACTGAAAACTTACATCCACACAAAACTTGCACCTGAATGTTCATAATAGTTTTACTCATAACTGCCAAAACTTGGAAGCAACCAAGATGTCCTTCAAAAGGTAAATGGGTAGTCAAAACTGTGGAGTATATCCATATGATAGAATATTATTCAGTGGTATTAATAAAAAGAAATAAGCTAGTATCTAATCACAAAGCACATGGAGGAACCTTAAATGCATATTGTCAAGTGAAAGAAACTAATCTGAAAAAGACTACATACTGTATGCTTTGAGCTGTGTAACACTCTGGAAAAAGCAAAACTGTAAGGATAGTAAACAAACAAACAAACAAAATCAGTGGTTACCAGGGGTTAGGTGGAAGGAGGAATGAATAGTAAGAGCCCAGATGATGTTTAGGGCAATAAAACTATTCTGGATAATACTGATGGTGGATACCTCTGTCAAAACCTATCAAATGTATAACATAAAGAGGGAATCTTAATGTAAAATATGTCGTCATTGTTCATTTGCTAAGTCATGTCCGGCTCTTTGCAACCCCGTGGACTGTAGCACACCAGGCTTCTCTGTCCTCCATTATCTCCCAGAATTTGCTCAAATTCATGTCCATCAAGTTGGTGATGCTATCTAACCATCTCATCCTCTGCTGCCCCCTCCTCTTCCTGCCTTCAATCTTTCCCAGCATGAGGGTCCTTTCCAGTGAGTCAGCTCTTCACATCAGGTGGCCAAAGTATTGGAGCTTCAGCATCAGTCCTTCCAATGAATATTCAGGGTAACTACAGACTTTAGTTAATAATAATGTGTCTATTGGCTCATCAGTTGTAACAAAAAGTCTGATACTAAGGCAGTATGTTAATAATAAAATTGTTTGTGGAAGGGGCTATGTGGGAACTCTATTCTCTCCACTCAATTTTTCTGTAATCCTAAAGTATGTCTAAAAAAATAAGTATATTATTTTCTTAAAAATGAAAAACCCTTTGAACTATATATGATTATTTAATATGAATACACATAAAATACATTGTGTACATCATACACTCAAGATTCTGGTAAAAACTGGCTAACAATTTCATCTGACCCATAATGAAAGGACTCAGTTGGAATTGGTTTTAATGAGATATCAGATTCATTATGCTATCATTAATTCAATGGAAGAAAGCTGACATAACAGCTAGTTGCAGCGTTTAAATGTAACAGGAATCAAGTATATGAACCAATATTCAAATGTTTACATGAAAGAAGGAAAGGTACCAAAGCTGCTTTGCTATGAAAGGCAAAAAGTAGAAATAATGTTATATCCTCTTTGGTATCTTTTGACTTCCAGAGTTTGTCATTTTAAAAATTATTGAAGGAACATTATGTTCTCATTGTGAAGATACTAGTCATCACTGAATACCGTAGGTGTTCTTTTTTTCTAGCTAAGTAATTCAAAGATATGAAGTATAGTACAAAAAAAAAAATACTTGCCCAGGAACTCTCACTGTTTATGTAGCAATTTTGTCCTTTAAATCTATGGATCCATAATCATGGGTAACATTTATTCCACATACATAAAGTATATATTGTATTTAACTCAGCAAAAACCAAGGAAGAAATGTGTTGAATGTTCTTATGAATTAATTAAAACCAGCAAGGCTGGAGTTTATTAGCTTCTCTTGTAAAACATCAGTAGAGATGGAGAACATACCCTGTTGCTTAAAGTAACCTCTAGATTGTTTGAAAAGTAACAGACATTTATTTGGGCAACAGATACAATATTCTATTAGGAAAAATAGAGGTTGGGTTTTCCTATTTCTCAGAGGGGTCGTTCATCTCTCAGTAGAGTGTTGCCTCTGAGGAAGGATATTTTTTTCAGTAAAGAGTTTTGTCCAGATAGCTGGACAAATTCAAGTTTGGGATAAGACTCTAGAGAATTCTGTACCATTAAGCATAAGACATGAAGGCGGACGCCTACAGGCAGGTGATAGGGATGCTATGGAAACTGGCCATTATTCCTAGAAGATCTGATTTTGAATAGCATTGCTTTCTACTGGGCCTATCGTCTGGCATGTTAACCCCCAGAAACATACTCTAAGATACTCTGTTTCTAAAATCTCTACCTTAGAGAATTCAACTGCACTCACTAAACTTACACTTGAAGCCCTGATATGTCCTCTTGGCTTGGGTCACAAACCTAAAGGTAGTGCTGAAATCTCCACGCCATCACTCAGGCTGAACTCACCATGTCTACGCTGTGCAAAGCAAGTTCTGCCTCTATAATTCTGCTGGTCTCCCAGCTATTGCCAATGTGGCGATCATCCTCTTCTTCCTGCCAAAGACAACTTTCCTTTGGTCAGTTATCAAAGCAGGTTAAGTTTCCTTCATAACATGTTTCCCATTCTTCTCTTCCCTTCAGCTCTCACAGTCTGAGACTCTCACAATCTCCTATGGAGCTTTGCCTCCAGTTTCTGGTATATCCAATTCCTGAGCACCTATCTTTGTTAGCTTAATCATCCTAAGAATTGCCTGATAAAGCAGTAAGAATAAAAAATACACATTTACTTACACATTTACATGTTTACTTACATGTGCTGGGCACACACTGCATATTTTTAAGTTTTTCTCATGAATTCCCTGTGAAACAACTATGACTGTCCCTGTTTTGCAGGTGGGTAAGTTAGGGCTCAGAGAGGTTAACTAATTTAGCCAAGGTTGCATAGTTAGTATGTGGCAGTTAAAAATCACACCCTCTTAACTCCAGAGCCTAAGCACTTAGCCACACCTTCCCCTATCTAGCTCTTGTACCTTCCTCCCCCACCTGCTCAAACATGGTCTTTTTAACACTTAACAGAATAAAGTTCTTGACTTGGTATTCATCATCTGCCACACAGTTTGATTTATCAACTTAAAAAAAAAATGTTTTCACTTCACCTCTTTCACCGCCTCTTCAGCAAAATTGGTGCCCCCTAGTCACGTTATGTAATTTGTCTTTTATGCATACATCACATCTCCCAAATTAGACGTCTTTGCCCACCCTTGCACATCAAAGGCACTAAGTGACTATGACTGATAACCAGAGTGTAAAAATGTACTGGAAATTCTCATTTGATCCTTCCTGAAACCCTATAACCCAGGTATTGCTTTCATCAGCACTCTAGAGACGGGGAAAAAAAAAATGAGCCCTCCAAAGCTAAGTGATTTGCTAAGGAGGCAATGCTCTTGACATTTTCTCTCTGTAAATATTTCCTGTGTGCCAGGTACGAGCAAGAGGAGAGAGAGGAAGAGATAGGCCCACGAAGAAGAACAGTCCCTTGTCTTTAGATGCTGACATTTTGATGGGAAGAAGCAGAAAACAGTTACTCCCAACTCTGACGCAATTCCCAGTCTAAGGACCACGGACTCCTCTAGAAACAGTGGTTTCTACTATGTTAAAGAATATCACCTAGTATTTCCTTCTCATTTTACAGATGATGATGATATTACTTCCCCAAGATAAGATAGAGGTAAAAGTGGACCAGACTTTTCTTTTAGTCCAATTATCTCAACTGAACACAAGATTGTAAAATAACTAAATGAAATAATCAACCACATCTGTATACAGGCAACGCAGCCACCGGCAATCTGTGAGGGTAGGGGGAAAGTTTACAATGAGTTCCGCGGTCTGAGCCTCAATGTGTAGGCTTGTCGGCATCAAGAGTTACCCTCCACCTCACAGGAAGAGAAAACGAGGCTCAGAATCGGATGACAGTCAGTCCCGAAAAGTGTCAGGAACTGACCACAAAAAGACACATCTACTTCCTTACGCTGGAACGCTTAACCGGAGGAGCCTAGGACTTCACCGACCGGAAGTTCCCCTGCCCCCAACAAAGAGGGCGCCGGTCACGTGAGCCGATCTGATTGCTAAACGCCAGGGTCCCCTTCTCCCCGCCCCCTTGAGGTCGTTTCCGCCCAGAGCTCTGAAGTAGCCAATCAGTACAGACACGAGAAGGCGTGCGTCTGACGTCAGACGCTGGGGCGGAGCGGAGTTGGAATTTTGGCGGGTCCGGCTGTACAGAGTGAACGGGTGAGGAGCCGGGTAAGAAGCGAGTCTGCGAGTGTTGAGGGGTAGGTTGAGGGGCTTCCGAAGGCGTCTGTGTGAGGGTTTAACGAGCTCTGAGGGCTAGAGGCGCGGAGCTCGGGGGCGCTCAGGAGGGTGAGACTGGAACTAGGCGAACGTGCAGGTGGCTTGGGCCGATCGCCGGGCTGACGCGGGGCCGGGCGGCCGGCAGGGCCTTGGGTGCGGAGCCGTGGACGGTTTCGGAGCTGGGAAATGGCGGGTAGTTCTGAAAGGCGCCGAGAGGTGCCAGGCGTTCGGCCGTCCAAGCTGTGTAAGGGTCCACTTTTTTTTCTCTTTAAAGGTAAATACATGCCGTTTGGACTTTCTCTTTTATAAATTTATGCTTAAGTTTATGATTTGCTAATAGGGGTGCAAGGCTCCCATCACATCTATTTTCGTGTTATCCAGTTTAAAGTGGGTGAAAAAGTGAAAGTGAAGTCGCTCAGTCGTGTCCGATTCTTTGCGACCCCATAGACTGTAGCCTACCAGGTTCCTCCATCCATGGGATTTTTCAGGCAAGAGTACTGGAGTGGGTTGCCATTTTCTTCTCCAGGAGATCATCCCGACCCAGGGATTGAACCCTGGTCTTCCGCATGGTAGGCGGGCGCATTACTGTCTGAGCCACCAGGGAACAGATAACAGACAGGTACACCACAGTGGAATGTGCGATAAAGTTGTGAAAGCGATGAGGTGAGAGGGTTCCAGGGGCCTGGTCAGATAGAGTGGTCTGGAAAGGCTTAGAAAAACTGGTAGTTAAGCAGAGACTGAGGAAAGAAAAGGAGATAGGGGAGAGCTTTCCAAAGAGGCCTGAAAGCACTTGTGTGTTCAAGAAGTTCAAAGCAGGCTAGTCTGGATGAAGCATTATTGCGGCGTTGGGGTTGGGTGGAGTGGTTGTAGAAAAAATGAGGAAGTGAGAGTAGGCAGGAGAGCAAGTAGGCTTTGTAAATTTTGTTCTAAGGACAATGGAAAACTAATTAGAATTTTATTAAAGAAATATTGCAATCTGACTTATGTTCTTAAAAGATTGCAGATATTGCTGAGGAAAGAAAAGATTACTGTAGTGTTTACACAGAGGGTAAATTTCAGCAGGACAGAGGATAAATTTCAGGGGGACAGAGAATCTAATACAGTATTCCAGGCAAAAGATTGATGGTAACTTGGACTAGGTTTTTGGATGAAAAGTTTTTGGAGAGAAGTCGAAGATTTTCGGCTGAAAGAGTTGAAAACCACTGAGTGACTGAGCAGGAGGTCTGTACTGGCAATCAGGGAATGGTGTTGAAATTAATCTTTCCCCAGTAGGGGGCTCTGAGGTATACACTGAGTTCCAGATACTGAACAAGGCTCCCATGGGATGTGATCCTATGCCTCTGAGGTTTCTCCCACGTCCTTGCACTCCTTTCAACCTTCACTCCCTCCATTCCATCTTCCACCAGGACCAGCGCTCCTTAAGACATCAGTACTCTCATGATTTTCCCACCTGACTCCTTAGGTTAGAGTCTTCCCAGATGGCTCACTGGTAACAGAATCCACCTGCCCGTGCTGGAGACGTGGGTTTGATCCCGGGGTGGGTAAGATCCCCTGGAGAAGGTCATGGCAACCCATTCCAGTATTCTTGCCTGGAGAATCCCATGGACAGAGGAGCCTGGTGGGCTGCAGTCCATGGGGTCGCAAGAAGTCAGACACGACTGAGCACAGTGCAGAAGATATTAGCAATATATTGAAGAAAGAACCCTTAGCATTTGTCAGATGGTCCTAGATGATTGGGTGGGGGGGGGGGGCGGCGGTAGGTAGGGTCAGAGGTGGGTTGGTTATAGGAATGACCAAGACAGTTTGCCCCTATCCAACCCTCAGGAACCTTACAGTCTTTCAGGTTCCCCAGTTGACAGCACAGTGCCAGACACATGATGGACTGTGGGAATGTCTGGTGAATAAATGAAAAGAAAGCACCTTAATTAATCCTTGACATCGAACTTACCAAGATCATATATATTATAGAGCACTTATAAGTTAAACAGTAGCCTAGAAAATTTACACTTTTTTCTTACAGTTTTAAAAATGATTTTAAATGAAAAAAGGAAAGTGCACAGGATAATATAAAGTTATCCTACTTAGCTATGCCAGCTATTCCTCTGAGCTTCATAATGCATGTTCACAGTTTGTCTCACCTGTGTAATCTAGTATCACACAAAACAACTCTGTACCTCAACGAAATTTGCCTAACAGTAACTTGGAGACAAGACACAGGGACTGCATCCATACAAGGAGGGAAAGTTGGTTGGCTGGGGTTAGAAATGGCCAGAGCCTGGATTAATTCTGAGCTTAAGCTCCTACAATTTGTAGGATGCTGGATTTGTTGGATATGTAATGTGAGAGAGAACAATTGAGAGTGATTTTTCCTCCGTTGATTCCACACAGCCAAGGTTCTGCATTGCTGCCATCTCCTGGTCACCTGATACTCCCTCAGTTTTCCATCATCATTGTTCACTTGACAGCATGGATGGTGAGTCCTGGCAGTTTTCTCAATTTCCCTTTGTTTCGTGAAAAATCAATCTTTTGTCCATGGGCTTGTTGTTACTTATCTCTCTGTCTCTCTCAGTCACCAAGTCGTGTTCAGCTCTTTTTGCTGCCCCATAGACTGTAGCCTGCCAAGCTCTCTTTTCATGGGATTTCTGAGGCAAGAATACTGGAGTGGGTTGCCATTTCCTTCTTCAGTTGTTACTTATATCACTTATAAAATAATGAAAATAGTTACCTTACCTTCAAGCATTGTCTGAGTAGTTCAATAGAACTCTCACTTCAGTCAGTGAATGTTATTTGTTTTAACCAGGTGCACTTTCTGTTCCTAACAACATTGGTTGTCTTTTATAGTAATGATGGTTGGCATATACTTACTATGTGCCAGGCACTGCTCTAAGATCTTATAGCTACCTTTTAAAATCATCCATCAGATTAGTTAAAAAAATCTTGGATGATGCCTCAGATGTTGGTGAGGTGGTAGGGATTACTACCAGGATTACTAGAGGTAGAGAACTGTTGGTTTGTTTATTGGCCAGTTGGATTTCTTCTTTCTTGAATTATCTGTTTCTTTTATTTGCTCATTTTTACCTCCCCACAATTTGGGCATGATTCCTTTATAAAATCAGAGGCATTTAAAGCACAAGCATTAAGGATACATGATACATTCCCTCACTGAAAAGATGGGGGCTGAAATCTAGAGAAATTAAGGGTCTCTTCAGGATCACATGATGAAACAGGTCAGCACAGGAGCCTGGGTTAGGATAGACACCTCTAGATCAGCAAACCAGTACCCTTTTTACCACTCTATGCTCCTTGACCTCAGAAGGAAATGAGCCAGAGGCCAACTCAGGGTCTAGAATCTGATGAAAGAACCTAAAGCTTAAAGTCAGAGATTACATAATAATTAATCTGAATTGCTTAGTTAGCAATGACTCCAAGACTGCAGGGTGTAGCAAGAGAGAAGAGGCTACTTGGCTACCCAGGCTCCCAAGTGAGATAACCGCATACCCAAAACGGAGCCAAGAGGCCCTCCTCTCTCGCCCATTCCAAGCTGTTATAGAGTGCACAGCCTGGAAGAGGCCTGTGCCCACACCACTGGGAACCTTGGATGAGAAAGGCTGCCTAGTGCCTCCACACTCTTGGCCTTGAATCCATCTTGTTATGAGAGAACCAGGGCTGATCCCTCTTCACTATTTACTAGGTAAATATTTTGCACATATCCCTGCAAAATGAACAAAATTTAGAAGTAGTATAAGAATTTGTCAGAGCTAGACTAAGACTACTTCAACGTATTTCAGTGTCAAAGGTGAACTCTGAAGTGAGGCTGCCTGGGTTCAAATTCCTGCTCTTGACAGTTTCACCTGTGACAAGTCACCAAACATCTGTCTTCCTATGTATTTTGCTCTGAGGATTAAAATCAATTAATACAGTCGTCCCTGGTATCCACAGGGCACGTATTCCAGGACCCTGCATGGATACCAAAATCCAGATGCTCAAGTCCCTGATATGTTAATAAAATGGCATATATTTTTTTGCATACAAGCTACACATATCCTGTACACTTTAAATAATCTCTAGATGACTTATAATACCCAGTGCAATGTAAATGCTATGTAAATAGTTGCCAGTTATGTTAATAAATATGTATTTATGTAAAAAGTATGGGGAATGGCCTTGTGTGATACATCAAAATTATGACAGTGATTATACTGGGGCCTGGTGGCTATGGTAAGGAGTTGGGATAAGATTTGACATAATAAACTTCTAACGTAAAAGCCAAAAGCAAACATGATAAAAGGTTGTGTATGTGTTAAGTTACTTCAGTCATGTCTGACTCTTTGCGACCCTATGGACTGTTGCCCACCAGGCTCCTCTGTCCATGGGATTCTCCAGGCAAGAATACTGGCATGTTTGTCCTTTCCTTCTCTAATAAAAAGTTAATAGCTAATTCTGGTTGATGGGATATGAGTACATTTAATGTAATGCTTTGTAAATTTCTGTAGTTTTTAAAAATTGCTCAAACAATTAAAAAGTGGGGGAATATATACATCTAGGAACTAAATGTATACTTGGCAAGATTTTCAATTATTCCATTGTGGATTGAATTTCATATGCAGGAAGTCATCTGATTAGCTTAAGTAGCATAGATAAAGAGATCTAGCCCAGTGGCTGGCCCACTGAGATAACTAAGTAGATGCTGGCCCCTACTTTCTTAGCCTAGTTCCAAGAAGCACTTGGGGAGAAGAAAGGTAAACAAGAACAATAGTTACAGGTACCAGGCAAAATAGTGAATCTGCAGTCATTTTAACTGCATTATGAATGTTGAATGTTTTAACTCTGCTTGTCAGTGGCTGTTTTTCACAGATAGGCTTCCTTTCTTTCCTTTTTCTTCTTTTTCCCATAGGGGAGGAAGATGATTTGTCTCTGCTGACTGCATTGCTGGAGGAGAATGAGTCGGCCTTGGATTGTAATTCAGAAGAGAGTCAGCCCTTGACCCAGGAAGATGGTGAACCTGACTCATTTGATGAGCTCTTTGACGCTGATGGTGATGGTGAATCTTACACAGAGGAGACTGATGAGGGAGAAGTGGAAAAGGCTGAAAACCAAAAGGAGAATTTGGCCACTCTCTTTGGAGACATGGGAGATTTAACAGATGAGGAAGAAGCTCCTACATCACAATCAACTAAAGAGAGGGTCATCCCTGCTCCTGCTCCCAGTCAAGGGAAAACTAATCAGGAGTTGCAAGGTGCCCTAATCTCTAATTTCTTTATGATAGACCAGATGAAGACTACCCATCTGACAGCTTTCTTCAAAATAGCTGCTGAGTCAGGGGTAGAGATAAATGACTTTGCAAAAAAAAAGTGTAGAAGTTAGTGGAGCAAGCATTTAAAGCCAACATTTGAGGGCACAGCAGTCCCCCTGATATCAGGGTCAGCCAGCTATAATTGAGCCTTTGCAAAATGGTTCTAACATTTCTCACACTTATTACAGAAAAATAATACTTTGGGGTTTAGCAAAGGGAGCCAAGGGACAAGATTGCAAAGCCACTACATATTCTGTTTGAGCAGAAGACCATTTCTGAACAGATCCATCTAGGAGTGTCTTTTTCTTTCTTTCCTTTTTTTTTTTTTTTGTTTTTTTTGTTTTTTGTTAGTGTTACAGATTTTTTTTCCTGTTTTTTATCATCTCACAAAAAAGCAGTATGGCAAGTTTTTTAGTTCATTGTTTCAGGAGCATTGGAGCATGTAAGTGACTTCTCCCAGGTCATTCATGCTAATCTGTATGATTAGGATTCCAGGTAGATTTTGGCTACAGAATTTCTATTTTAATCCCAACAGAAGATCCAGATACTTATAAACATCAACTAGAAAATGTTTATACATATTAGTAAGTTTTATGAAGTTGTTGTTTGGTCACTATAGTGTCCAACTCTTTTGAGATCCCGTGGACTATAGCCCACCAGGCTCCTATGTCCATGGGATTTCCCAGGCAGGAATATTGAAGTAGGTTGCCATTTCCTTCTGCAGGGAGGAGTGCCATTTTCTTATTCCTGACATCTCTCTGATATGTATTTTTTTAACTTACATATATATTTTTAATTGAAATATAGTTCATTTACAGTTTTATTAGTTTGAGGTGTATAGCATAATGATTTGATATTTTTATAGATTATACTCCATTTAAAGTTATTACTGAATATTGGCTTATTCTCTGTGCTTTACATTATATCCCTGTATCTTATTTGTTTTGTGTTTTAAATATGGAAGGCTTCACAAATTTGCATGTCATCCTTGCTTAGGGGCCATAATCATGTCTTGACTCTTAAGAACTTGTCAACCATGGACATGTATCTAACTGTCAGCAGTGCAAATTCATTATCAGCTTTGGTATTAGAGATTTGTTTACTGGAAATACCATGTTTACTTCTCTAAAGGGGAACTATTTAAAGTGCAAAAGTTAATTGTGAGTTCTCTGTGATTCTGTTGTGGGTCTCAAGTTTTGGAGGTAATGGATAGACATTAAAAATCATTTCAGCACTTTCATTATGTATGATATTTCGTCTGGTCTGGTTTTTAAATCAGTATATTTTTTCCCCTAGATGAATTAAGTAAGTTGCAAGAGCAAATGAAGTCCTTACAAGAACAGCTGAAACTAGCGACAATTAAACAGCCTGCAAGTCCAACCCTTTCACGTAAAACCCCAGGTAATCAAACTAATTCTCGGGATAGTATGCATTTCTGTTACAAAGAAATCATAACATTACTTCTGCATCCAACTCCTGGTAAAACAGTTTTTGAACCCCTTTCTCAATTTTCTTTACTAATTTCTTTTAATCAAGTAGATAAGTTTCCACGTCCCCCTCTTAAGGAGAAGAAAGTTCAGAAAATTCAGGAGTCATTGTGCTTTGCTGCGGAGCTTGACATCCCTACTCTACCAAAACCCAAGCGAGTGGCTCGGACACCAAAGGTCTCATCTGCAGGTGTAGTACTCATGGCCCCTAGCTTCTCACTGCCTGGGCTCTGTTTACAGTGTATTTTGGCACTGTTATGTATGGGTATGTGTGTTGGTCTGTCTTACCTGCCCACTGAGAAAAGTAAGTTTCCTGGAAATGGGAACCACATTCTATATTTCATAATCTTTGTGTACATCTCAAAGTGCTTAGAAAATACTTGGGTAGAGAATAAGTATTTAAATGCTTAGTGGATTTAATTTTTTTTTTTGGTTCTATAGTCCTGTAGTTGAATTATAGTGAAATATAACCACTGGGTTGAGTTCTTATGCTAAAAGCTAGAGATTTACTCTTCAGGCTATGAGACTGAGGCACAGTGATCTCTTTAATAAAATGGTCAAGTTTTATTTGAAGCCAGAGGGTTCATTCTTATGAAAAGTCGTCTTTGCTGGGAAGATAGAGGGGTACTCAAATAAAATCCTATTTCAGCACATACATATATACACACAAAATATAAAGGATTTATAAGCTCTGTGTATTGGTTTTGTTGTACTGTCTTTTTGCCTAAAGCAATTACTCTTAGGAAGATCTAAGAGAAAATGACCTGGAGATAACTTGGCTTGGAGTAAGCAGCACTTTATTGATCACACATGTTCAAAAAGGCCCTTTTTGACTATCATTGGCATATGACACAGCAATACAGAATGTCTGTAGCATCTGTGTGTTCATATTTATTTGACAACAGTTGGTATAGTCCATGTATCCACTTACTAATAGTGTTTATTCCCTTAGGACCTCTGATATTACTAAGGTATTTTATTAGGCAGTGTCCAAAGTTGAATTTTGAGGTGTTGAGATAAGGGCATGGTTTCTGGCGATTCTAAAAAGTCTAGGGTTACCCTGGCCCCTGCCTTGGGAGCAGTGATCCAAAGTCACTTTGAAAGTAAACACCAATCTTATTTGAGAGAGAGTTATACTTATTAAGGAGACTACCCAAGCTTTCTGACCCTCAGGAACATTTTCAAATGCTTATAAAATATGAGAAGAACCATATCTGAATATCCTGGGTCCCTTAACACTCCTGCCACCACCACCACCCCACCCCCCCCACACACACAAGTAAAATGAAATGAATTGAAATGAAACAAGAAAACAAAGGGAAGCTAACTTTGGATGTCTTTCAGGTAGAATTTGACCTGTGCACAAATCTCCACTAATTACTGATTTCAGAAGGAGGGCTCTTACTCCCTTATGAAATCTACCACAGTGCTCTGTATATGGTGAATATTCAAGAAATTGCACAGAGAAACTGTTTTAGAGTAGAACTGATGCAGCCACTAGCCACTGGTAGCTAATTAGATTACAAATTAGGCATTCATTTCCTTAGAGACACTGGTCAGTTTCAGGTGGTCAGTGTCTGCCAGTGACCACTACATGGACAACAGTGGTATAAAACATTTCCATACACAGGAAGTTCTGGACTATACCGCAGAAGTTTGAGGGTAGTACAGAAATGATCCTGTGGGCTTCTGTTACTCTCTCAAGATTTGACATGTGTTGATTAAAAAAGAAACAATTCCAATAAAAAATGTTTAATTATCAATGTGGTTTTTCTTTTTAATTTTTATATTTTCTAGAGCCCCAGTGTTCATCTTTGAAGATGAGAAGTATACTCTCCCAACCACTCCGAACAACTCCTGGGAACAAGCCTGGTGGGATGACTAGGGATCAGAGTGCAGGGACACCCAGGAGCTCTGGGGAAATGGCTCAGGAAGTCTCTGTGGAAGCCTTCTCTGGCCTGAGGCTCAGGTCAGTAATTTTGACAGCCCTCTCTTTCACTCTGCTCGTGCCCACAAGATGCCTCTTCCTCCTTCCTAGGGACTGAGCCTTCCAGAGTTAGTGTGTTTGTACCACTGAGTCACATGAAACATATAGCTCTTGTACTTGACCATACGAGGCCTTTGGCACTCTTTGACTCAGTGTGTTTACATGTGAATAAGGAAAGTTTTCTCTTGTTTGTGTAGAGAATAAAAGATACATGTTCTTAAAAGTGAAATCAATAAATAATAAGTACTGTATTTAACGAGAAACTAGTAGGAACAGTGGTAGAGACTATTCTTAAATACCTAAAGGAATATACAGTTTAACTAGGATAGTAGTATCTTATGTTACTAGAAATAACTCTGCTCTTTTGTATTGTTATGTGGAGAAATTAAGGTATTCAGGCAAAATATAATGGGGAGTGGGAGAGAGGCTCGAAAGAAAGGATGTATATATACACTTAGAGCTGATTCACACTGTATAGCAGAAACTAACACAACATGTAAAGCAATTATCCTCCAATTTGTAAAAAATAAAAATAGAAATACATCCCAGGATCAGTTCAGGGAAAACCTGGACTTCTAAATCTTCTGTGTCTACTGCTTTGCACCTCTGTTATGACTGCTCTTGAAGCCCTGGGCAGAGAGAACATCCTTACTGAAACCAGATTGCCTTTAATACTGTCTGAGTAGCCAAGTGCAACCCCTCTAGAACACCTGAACCTTGTCAACCTAAACTAAAACTGCTAAGCTTTTAAATTGTATGTTATTGAGCAAGGGAAGAACAAGTGACTACTGACATGCAGTAGAAGTTTATTGTAATAACTCCATACTCTTCAAAATTGGGGGGATCAATATTTTAATTACATTTGAGACACAGTCTGAGGAATGGAATATAGTAAAAACTCACTGAGGGAACTTTAGGCTGCTTTTTCAATGTAAATGTGGCCCTCCTGAGATAATACTGCCTTTCCCAGTGGAAACACCCTAGAGATAATAAAGGTGTTGTTGATGCAAGTATTGCTATACGTTTGAATTAAATGGAAGTAGATGAAGTTGAAACTAGAAGCCAAAGCTTCTGTGGGGCCTACAAATTTGGGGGGTTGCAGAGATGTTTGAGTCTCTCTCATGATTGTTCTACCTGAACCTCGGAACCTGAAGATGCTCTGTAGGATCATAGCTTCATAGTAACCTGTTAACTCAGAAATCAAACAAGGAAAGGATTTTCCACTTATGTCAGTGTTTCCCTCCTGAATATTTTTTATTGTTGAGTTAGCCCTTGGAGTTTCTGTTCTAGAAAACTTCTGAAAGAGTCAAAAAGCTTGTTTTCTCTTGACTGCTTTCTCTCGTCCTAGAATATGTTATATGATCCAACATGAAACAGATTTTAATGTTCAACTAGAGAAAAACAATTTGCAAATTTTACGAGTTTTAACCAGGCATTAGAGACAAGAGTATATTAATTGAAGCTTGAGTCAATTTTTTTAATTATGTGAAAAGGTTGGCTTTTAAAAAATCTAATTAGAAATAGTAGAACTTACGAAATTCTCACAGAATTGATGAAATTATCTCCTTTTGGGGAAGGGGCCGTACTGTGTAGCATGGGGATCTTAGTTCCCCAATAAGGGTGAAACTCGTGCCTCCTGCAGTGGAAACACAAAGTCTTAACCACCGAACCACCAGGGAAATTTTACCTGCTGAAAAAATATGTGCTTTGTACTAAGCCTCCCTGAGAACAGGTGCTTTAGAGATTTCTGTCCATAATATCTCTTCTAACCAATTTGCTACAGTGCCAGGTTATCTCTTAGAGTAATAATCTACCAATCGCTGGTGTCTTGACCCAGAAAGCCTCGAGTATCCTCCACAGAAATGAACAAGAAAATGATCGGCCGAAAACTTATCAGACTGTCTCAGCTCAAGGAAAAGATGGCAGTTGAGAAGCTGGAAGAAATAGACTGGGTGACGTTTGGGGTTATATTGAAGAAAATCACTCCACAGAGTTCTAACAGTGTAAGCTATTTTATTAATCAGCTGTTTCATCACAGATTGGCAGAGATTCATATTCTTGATTTGTTACCCAGAGCCCATCCGTGTTTGTAGTCATTGCAGTAAGTTCTCAAATTGCCACACCATCACCTGGTTGGTACCAGAGGGGGAAATATGTAAGGAAGGCCCTACCTAAAGAAGGTCTTGTTGGACAGGTTTCTTGAGCTTTTTATTGTACACATCATTCTTACTCATTTTACTTGTTGTTTGGTGATGCCTGTGGATGCCCTACGACTCTGAATAATCCCCCTTGTGGAAGGGGAGCACGTCCTCAAAGACAGTTTGGAGAGCCTTACTAGATGTAAGATGTCAGTCACAGAAGTCCTGATATTGCTGACCTGTGCCAGTACAGGATGGTACATTTTATTTGACAAATACTACAAGAGGTCTGATAAGTTTTAAAATCACAGTTGAATGAGGTATAACAAAAATTATTCTGTGGCCAAGTCAGAAAAGCCGGATTCTAAGCCTCATTCTCCATTTATCAGGAGCCTTGTGGCATTAGGTGGCCCTTACTCTTTCTTTGAGGACTGCCATTTCCTTATCTGTAAAATGAAGGAATTGTCTTTTGGTTATCTGAAAGGCTGTCTCTAAAATACTGCAGATTATCTTGTTCAAAACTAATTTCATCCTCCAGTTTTGATCTTGGCTAACCTTAAATTTTTTTATGAGCTCTGACACCAGAGATTGAGTTTCAGATTCTGAGTCCTGCTCTATCCCTGTTCTGTCTCAGTAAATGTGAACAAGGCTGGTTTTCATGTGATTAAGTTCATAATTGCATCACCACTGGCTATAATGACATTGAAATAATCGGTGTGAAATTTATATGAACTTCTCTAAGAATGGCATTGTATAAATCCTTAGAAGAATAATTATAATACTGGACCTGTAGCCATACCCACTCTGGGCTGCCTCTGTGAAGTAGCTTGATTCAGTATTGTGTGAATTGCTTTTTTTAAAAAATCTATAAATATGGAAGTTGTTCCTATTATATGTGGCTAGCATTTTGAGTTTCTTGATATGTCATAGTATTTCCAAAATTTTAGAGTTAAATACAACCAGTTTTCTTTAAATGACACTGTTTTTCTTCTAAGCTAAGGAAAGATTTAGAAGCACTGAACTGAAATTTCCTTATTAATATTAAAATAACAATGATAATAATATTTATTAAATATACATCAGTAAATTTTTTATTGAAGGTTAGTTGGTTTACAGTGTTGTGTTTTAGGTGTACAGCAAAGTGATTCAGTTATACCTATGTAGATATGTTTCATGTTCTTTTCCATTATGATTTATTACAGAATATTGAATATAGTTCCCTATGCTTTACAGTACTAGTCCTTATTGTCTAAAGATTTTATGTAATAGTTTGTGTCTGCTAATAACAAGTTTGAAGAAACACAGTTAACAAGAAAGCTATTTCTTTCTGAGGCCTGCCTTTCTTCACCTTCATTTCTAAAATGAGAAGAGGCATACCAAAGCCTTGAGAAAGGATTAATTTATAATTAACAGACATTCTGATGATAACCTATTCAGAGTGGGTCATGCTTAGATATTTTCCACAGTAGAATACTTGGACTGTAAATGAAGACATTGTAACCCATTGTTCAAGATTTATTAAAGATAAGCATAAATGATTTGCTCCAGGGGAAAACATTTAGCATCTGGCGACTGAATGATCTTCGTGACCTGACACGATGCGTGTCACTGTTCCTGTTTGGAGAGGTTCACAGAGAACTCTGGAAGACTGAGCAGGGTTCTGTCATAGGGCTGCTCAACGCAAACCCCATGAAGCCCAAGGATGGTTCGGAGGAGGTAAGACTGTTTCCAGGGGTGGGTTTGGCTTTTTTGTGGTCTTTATAACTTAGCTGAGTTCTATCAAAAACCTTTATGCTGGTCTACCTCCAGGTAATAAGTCAAGCTTTTGTATTATTTTGACCCCATTTTACTGGCTTTTTATTTGTCATTCGTTTCTTACCTTCCAGTATTCTGAATTTCAGACTACACTAGAGTATTTTATGACAACTTATTTCATTATATTTTTTCAAATTTGTTCCAAGCTTCCTGGAATTTATTTTTCAGTTCTTGGGCTCAGGTTCCCTTCCATCTCCTATAAATATCCTTGATAGCATCAGGAAGGGAAGGGTTTATAGTTGAGGAGGGTTTGTTCCGTTTGTTAGTACAGTCATAGCTGCAACTTACGAATTTTCATTTTTAAAATGACTTTTCACTGTCTTAAGCAGCATTAGAGTTTGGGTTACTACCTACTGATTCTCTAGTAAATTGCAAACCTAGGTACAGTGTGAACACTAACAGTTTCTCCACAGGAGTTAACAAGCGGCTACTGCTGCTGTTATAGACACATTATTATTATATCAGGAGTGAGCGACAAAGTTGTTGGCATTCATTGCTTTCTTGAGAGAATAGCAACAAATCTTCATTTATTGGTTTGGAAGGTGTTTGGGCACAAGTAACAGAAAAGCTTCGCTACAGTTCTTTGTAACGGTAGACACTGAGGTTTTTGTTTTTCTTGGATAATAAAAAATCCAGACATAGGCAGTGTAGTAATTCCCTGATACCAGGGCTGGTGTTCATGAGTCTTCTCAGATTTCCCTCTTGGTCACAAGATGGCTTTGAAACCCTAGCCATCACATCTCCATTGAAGCCAGGAAGTCAGCCAGCCTCTTTACTCTGCTTTTATAGAAAAGCAGATTTCCTGGCTACCTTCCCTGCAGACTCCTGTTTCAGTCTCATTGGCCAGAGTGGAGTCACATGACAATCACTAGCTGCAAAGAATGCTGGGAAAACTGGGAACCCACTCCATCACTCGAGGCTGAGCATTAGGATTCTGATAGTAAAGACCAGGAGGGAACAGAGAACTAAATGTCTTCTGTCTCTCCCATTTCTACAACTGTTTTACAGAGCACTGGCTTCAAATCCCAGGGCACTTATGAAAAGGATATAAAGCCTAACTCATGCCAACCATTATTATATCCGTTCTTGGCTGGTGAGGGGCCATACCTTTGTTTGCTTTTAATTCCTACTACCTCTTTTTCTACAGATATGCTTATCTATTGATCATCCTCAAAAGATCTTAATTATGGGGGAAGCTCTTGACCTGGGAACCTGTAAAGCAAAGAAAAAGAATGGAGAACCATGTACACAGATTGTGAATTTGGTAGGTTTCAGCTTTGTTGGGGTGGTTTTTGCTAAAGAAAGTAACTAATAGGAATAAATTTTAGGCACTTTACCAGTAATGACCTATTTGGAACTGAGTTTCCTACATAATAGGAAGCATCAAAGTGAGAAAGTAGAATGTGTGGTTAATATTGGCCAGTTTAAAAAGCTGAGGGCAGGGGAAGGATTTAACCTCTTAGGAAACTGATCTTTTATTACCAGCTGGTTGGGAAGTATAAGAAAGACAGAAGTTTAATTTGCCCTCAATTCTTTCTAGTGCTGAAGATCAAACACTAATGATGAAATACACTGCAACCTTATTTTAGCCAGTACATAACTATTCTACCTTTTATTAGAACTCTCTTTTTTGAAAAGTAAATAAACATTGTACTGAGATAGAATGCACATACCAGACCATTCCGTTTTGAAGTGCACAATCTAGTGATTTTTAATGTATTCACAGGGTTGTGCAATCATCTCCACCAGGTAATTTCAGAACATTTTCAGTCCACTTCTAAAAACCCATACCCACTAACAGTAATTCTCCATTCCCCTTCTCCTCCAGTCCTGGCAACTACTCATCTACTTTCTGTCTATAGATTTGCCTGTTCTAGACATTTCATACAGTGGAATTGTATAATGTACAGCCTTTTGTATCTAGCTTCTTTGGACTTAATGTTTAAGACTCATCTGTGCTATGCTCATGCTACAAAGCCTTTTATCAGCACTTCATTCCTTTTGGTATTTGATTAATACTCCATTGTATGGATAGACTACACTGTTTATCCGTTGATTGATAGACACTTAGGTGGTTTTCATATCTGACTGTTATGGATAATGCTGCTCTCAACATGCATATACAGGTTTTTATGTGGATGTCCATTTCAGTTCCCTCAACTATACACCTGGAGTGGAATTGCTGGATTTGCATTTAGGTTTTTGAGGAACCACCAAACTGGTTTCCCAGGTGGCTTTTACAGTCTCCCTGGCAGTATGTGAGGGTTCTAGTTTCTCTAACACTTTGTTACTGTCTGTCTTTGAGTACAGCCATCCAAGTGGATGTGAAGTGGTACTTAGAGCTCTTTGAAAGGACTGGATAATAGGTTCTGATTTCATCTCTTTTTATTTAGCTCATAGCTGTCTAACAGATGAACTAGTGAGCAGGAAATAGGGAGGAAGGAGACAGTTGGAAAGAGGTCTCAGGGGAAGTGTACCTGGCAGATCACAAGAGCTGGACCATTAAACCTCCATGGTCAGCATCTCTTAAATTTCACCCAGTTCAGCAATACTTCACAGTTTCTCTTTGCTCCTTTCACTGTAAGAGTAGCATTTATCTGAGAGTCAACCAGAGAGACAGAAAGGAAACTGATTCTGTTGAGGTAAAATTCACATTATGTATAGTTAACCATTTACATCAGTAATATTTAGTGTATTCACTTTATTGTGCAACCACCAGCTTCAGGTTTCAAAATCTTTTCATCACCCCATTGAAAAACACCCCCTAGCAATTAAATAACCATTTCCCTGATGACCTGTAATCTGTTTTCTGTCTCTGGATATATGCCATGAAAGGAATCATGCAACATGGGACCTTTGTGTCTGACTTCTTTCATTTGGCATATTTTCAAGGTTCATCCTGGAAACAGACTTTATTTCCATTGTAGAAAGAGGACAAAGGCAGTGAAAAGTACCACTTTTTCTTGTACCTGAGTAGTGTGTTCAGAGTTTAGTCCCCTTAACTTTTTTTCTTAATTTTTATTGAGTCTGGTTGATTTATAATGTTGTGTTAGTTTCATATGTTAGTATACAACAAAGTGAATTAGTTATATATATACTTACACCCACTCTTTCTTAGATTCCTTTCCCATATAGGCCATTACAGAGTACTGAATAGAGTTCCTGTACTATAGAGTAGGTCCTTACTAGTTATATATTTTATATATCATAGTGTGTGTGTATGAATCCCAGTCTTCCAATTTATCACCCCCACTCCACCCCCTTACCTAGAGGATGAACTTCTAAGTTGCTTCTTAGCTATGGATAGAGAGTGATCTCAGAAGTTAGCCAGGAGGGTTTTCCCCACAGAATAGCTCTCTGAGGCTGGGAGAAAGGAGTTGTGTCCATTAACATTGTCCCCGGCCTGTTGCCCTAATGTTGATAAAGCTGCTCTTTCTCTTCACAGAACGACTGTGAGTACTGTCAGTATCACATCCAGGCCCAGTACAAGAGGCTTAGCGCCAGGCGAGCTGACTTGCAGTCCACCTTCTCTGGAGGCCGCATTCCAAAGAAGTTTGCTCGCAAAGGCATCAGCCTGAAAGAACGGCTGTGTCAGGATGGTTTTTACTACGGAGGTGTTTCTTCAGCCTCATATGCAGCCTCAATGTAAGACATTCTCAGAGCTTCTTTGAGGGCTGGGGTCTTCATTTAAGAGTAAACCCAGGACTTCTCTGGTGGTTCAGTAGTTATGACTCCATGCTTCCACTGCAGGGGGCATGAGTTGCATCCCTGATTGGGGAAGTTCTGCATGCTGTGCTGTGTGGCCAGAAAGGAAAAAACAATAAACACAGTGGTTGTACATTTTTGTCCCAGTCCTCAAAGGTTTGTACAGGTTTTATCTTTTATAACATGCTACCTAAAACAATGTAGCAGAGGAGAAGAGACCCAAAACAAGGTTACTTCATTCCTGGGAAGAGAAGAAAACACTTAGAAGGAGGAGAAACTGAGTCGGGCTATCCTGGTCTTTAACGGGGAGCCCACACTTCCTCTTGGCTTCTAATGTGAGTAGTCCAACTTTGTCAGGACTGATTGGCCACTGAAAGTGTTCATCATAGTGTTGACATCCTTGAAATCATTTCCATCGTGACTGTGAGTGTTACGTTGTAGATCTCAGAGAACCCACAGTGACTTAGTGAAAGAGTATGCAGAGAAACCTCACAGGGGAGGGGGGTACTGCTGAAGCCAGCACCCCTGGGGATCTCAGCCTGTCCCTAGAGTCCCTGAGTAGGTGATTGATAGCCTGTCACCTGACTCTCTAAAATATATTTGAGGCAGGGATTTGGCTCAAGGGAGCTACAGTTGGTCCAAGAATAAAACAGATTTTGTCTTCAATCCAAGAGACACTGGACTAGAGGACTCTCACTTCTCACTTAATCTTATTTTGTAATATCAAGAACATTTTTAAGATTTAAAATAATGTCTATTTTAGCAAATTGCAAAAGACAGTACACATAATGTTTTTTAAAACGTATGTACAATTTAGCCAAAAGGAGACAATAAAAACCATTTATAATCCCACCATCAAGATAACTTAGTTTTGGTATATATGGTTTGGGGAGGACATTTTCCATAAGTATAAATTTTTAAGAGTATAAAATGAAGTCATAGTATGCCTATAATTTGCAATGTTCTCCTTTCCCATAAAAATAATGAATTTTTCTTTGTGGAATATTCACTTAACAGCATTATTTTTAGTGGCTACATAGTATTCTTTTACATGGCTCTGATAATTTAAATAATTCCCTATGGATAAACATTTTTAGTATTTCTGACTTTTAACAATACAAAGCTTCCATTAAAATCCTAAATTTTTGCATAGGTCTTACATAAATCCTAGACTTCTTGATAAGTCCTAGTCTTGATCAAAGTGTTGGCATATTTTTATTTCTTTTGCCAATTTACTTTTCCAGAATGGCCTTCAAGCAAGTTTGTAGGTTGCCTGTCTTAGGTCTGTGACATAATGCACGCACCAGTTATGGGTAGGACCATGGTATTAACTACAGTCTACTTAAAAGGAGCTTTGAGAAACATTGACATTTTATAACAACTACTTTTCTGTCTTCTTTACCTTATAGAGCATTGACTTTCAGTGGTTTTCATTTTCCTTTTCAGTGCAGCCGCTGTTGCACCTAAAAAGAAGTTTCAAACCACTCTGACTAACCTGGTGGTTAAGGGCACAGACTTGATTCTTCAGGAAACTCAACAAAAACTAGGTAACTTTGTTTCTTTCTCCATCTTAAATTTGTAGTCTTCAGGATTGAAAACAGTTAGTTCCTAACTCTAAATTATACTGAGTGATGTGGCCTAAACTAAAAGAACCAAGCTTCATTGGCAGCATCTTAAGCAACAGCATATTAATCTTAGCTGTGTCTTAGGTTTTTAAAACATCTTAATGTATCTGGGTCTAAGTGTCTAGCACTAGAATCAGTTATTGTCAACTTCCTGTCTTTCACTAAAACAGATCCAGGTCAGAGAATGCCACCTCCACTCTGTCCTGGGGGCTCTGTTTATAACAGCAGTCAAAGTCTAGTGTGGACCCTTTCCTGTAGTGCATAATCCAGAAATAGTGTGTGAAATGACCCCTCAGATAACAGTATTTTAATCATGCTTTAAAACTAAGATATTTGTCTTACCTTTGCAGTCCTACTGGTCTGATATTAGAGGTTAAGGATTCTCTTTTCTCTTGACATTCCATCTACTTCATTTACAAATGAAAAAATTATAAAGCAGAGTTTAAAAAGTAAAAAGACACATGACAGAAAATAGACTGAATTTTGAATCCTCTAAACCTGATATATATTTCAGGAATGCCCCAGAAGAGCTTGTCTTGTTCTGAGGAATTCAGGGAATTGATGGACTTGCCTACATCTGGAGCCAGAAACCTGAAACATCATTTAGCCAAAGCCAAGTCATCAGGTAGAGTCAGCCTGCACCTGCTCTAGTGTCCACACCTGAGACCCTGCCCCCTCTCAGAACTTCCTCAGCCTGTGGCTTGTGTTTTAGGGATCATGGGGAGCCAGAAACCTGCTTTCCAGTCTATCTCAGCATCAGCCCTCTTGAAGCAACAGAAGCAGCATATGTTAGAGATGCGGAAAAAGAAATCAGAAGAAATACAGAAACGGTAGGAGTCACAGGTTTAATATTCCCTGTTTAGATTGCTCATCTCATGAATTCTGGGGCTGTCCTAATAGATTTCAGAAATGTGACTTTGGATTTGAGGTGGTTCGCCACCTTTTCAACTTTAAAAGTTTTTAAGAAATAATTTTAGCATAACTTTTAAAGTTATAAAGCATTTAAAGATAAGTATTTCTGACTGATGCTAGTGAATCCTGAGACCAGATACTATAGGCTATAGTAATTAATGTCACTGTAGGAAAGAGAAAGTAATGACATACAAAGACAGTTTTGTTAAAAAGGGAAGTAGACTTTGGACAGTTTGCTACCCATTTCTCAGTTTTGCCAGTTAGGTTTTTTAATTACAGTCTCAGCCAGTGCATGGCTTCTGCATTTGTTCAGGTCAGTGATAAAATTGAGACACCGAGAATGGAGTGTCATTTGAGAGGCAAAATCAAGTGGAAATGGGTATGGAAAGTAAATGAATCAAAGACTCTTGAACTCAAGTTATCTGAATGGTAGTAAAAGCTACTGTCTACAGGCACCCAGTGTGCACTGACCACCATGCTTTACACTGTACACACATCACATTGATCCTTACCATAATCTGTGAAATGTTATTATCCTTGTTTTGTGACTAATGTAACTGAAGACCAGAGAGCTAGTAGATGGTGGAGCCAAGTTTAAACTCACACCTACTCCAGTGTTGAACCATTGCTGTCCCAGACTTGGGCTCTTACAGAGTATGTGGTTCCATGGAGGGGAAAGGTCTATTACGAGTCAAGAAGAGATGCTTTGGAAAAATAGGGGAACAGATTTGGCCTCAGGCAGGTTAATTTCAGGTCCTGGTAGGCTATCTATAGTGGTATTCATCAGGGGACTACAGATGACATGAATGTATATGTAGATACATGGACATATGTGGACCTTGTGGGGAGTGGAAAATACCTGTCGGTTTAAAGGCATTATGGTTTAAAGTTTTTCAAAGTTTTCCTAGCCAGACATAACTTATCTTTGGGCAGCATCTGGTAGGCAGTTTGCAAACTCAGCCTGGAACTTAACAGGAGTGGGGATAATATGGTAGTGAAAAGAAGACTGGCTCAAGATTACCTGGTACTGGTCCTCAGCCTGTAACTTAATGGGCAGTGGGGTCTTGGGCCTCAGTTTCTTCATCTCTACAATGAGAGGTTTAGACAAATGATTTCTGACCTTTGTTGTTTTTACATAGCCCTTGAAGCCACATATGAAGGGATGAGAGGGAGATTCAAGGAGGAGGAGATATATTATACACCAAAAACTAACACAACATTGTAAAACAACTATACTAGAAAAATAAAATATCATCTTAAAACTAAAAGCCCATATATAAAATAATCAGTGTGAATTATATTAATAGTGCCCTTCTTTTATGACTTCCAAATATATCATGTGTATTACCTCATCCTAGTAGAATAAACAAAATACACAGATCCAGTGAGTTCCTGAAGCATCTCAGCTAACCAGAAGGCTCAGAATATAGTCCACAGCTCACCTTCAGAGCTGAAGATGCTCCATATACCGACCCCACTTAGAAAGCCAATTGATAAAATTAGTAATCAGTTCTAAATTGGTGAAACAATTTGCATTTATTTAGTGAAAAATCAGCTAACTGAAGAATTAGTGAGGCTAGTTTTGTTTTTACTATGCACTAATCTAAATAACCAAGGATGGAAAATTATCTTACTGACGACTACTTAATCAGCTGGTGGCCTGCCTGCGGTCTCCCAGCCTGTGTGTTTTGTGCTTGTGTGCATACTTTGTGACTGCCTTTTTCTTTATAAAGCTTTTTGCAAAGCTCCAGTGAAAGCAAGAGCCCAGCTGTGCCATCCTCTTCTCAGCAGCCCCCTTGTCGATCTCCACCAACGGGGGCTGAATTCCCCAAGATGAAAGGAACCCCAACCGCACAGATGCCCAAGCTTGGAAGAGGCATCTCAGAAGGAGATGATGTCCTCTTTTTTGATGAGTCACCACCACCAAGACCAAAACTGAGTGCCTTAGCAGAAGCCAAAAAGGTAACTGGCATCTGTTTTTTTCACCACTTGGATTTGTATTCTGTGAGACATACCTGGTGCTTCAAACTTAATATACCCATGACCAGAGAAGAGTTACCTCATACTTATTTATTGATCATGATAATTAGAGTCAAAGGAATTTTAAATGATAATTTGTACCAACAATGCCATTAATTTAATCCAAGAAAACTAGCCACTGTCTCCACATTATTTCTTGTCAGGCTGGAGGAGATAACATGAAAGAAATCTTATGTAGAAGCCCAGGCTGTAGACAGCTAAAAGCTAAGTTGCTCTGATTGAAGTGGCAGTTGGGGGTGGTCAGAACCTCTCCTCTTCCTGAGTCACTGAGCCCCTGACCTGAACCTGTCTTCTCTGTCCTAGTTAGCAGCTAGAATCACATGAAGAGCAAAGGCTATCTGCAAGGCAAGCCACCTTCAGTAATAATAATAGCAGTTACACACCTATGTTACTATTATTCTGTGTCTGTGAGTTGTGCATACATACTATTTACTGTGTACAAGTACATGCTTGGCTTGCATTATCTCGTTTTATCCTTACAACTGCAGCCCTAAAAGATAGGGTTGTTATCTGTCATCTTCATTTTACAAATGTAGAAACTGAAGCTGAACAATTAAGTCAGGTTATAAACTAGTAAGTGACAGACTTGGAATTCTATCTTTTTTCTGTCCTGAAACAAACTTCTAAAATGTTTATGTGGTTCCTTTATGGATCTAAAAGCTTACAGACTATCTGAAGTTAAAAAATAAACTAAGATTTGGTTTGCTAACTTAGAGACCTGTCTTTCCTTCTTTGAAGTTTTAATGATTGTGTTAATAATGCTAAGTAAAATGAAGATAGATTTTGCTAATGTATGTTTGAGAACTGCCAGAATTCACTGGTTAATCACTGGAAAGGGATACAGAGCTACAGACACCTATCTTATTTAGATTTTTATCTCCCTCTCTTTTCTGTTTTCCTAGTTAGCTGCTATAACCAAATTAAGGTCAAAAGGCCAGATTCTTACAAAAACAGACCCAAATAGCATTAAGAAGCTAAAGGAAGCCCAGGATGTCCTGGAAGTGAAGGAACGTGTAGAAAAGAACAGCACATTTTCTCCTCAAGGTACTGCAAATGGGAAGCTGTCCAGTGGGAAAGAGACACTACTTATAGAGGAAACGTTGCAAAACACAATCAGCCTGAAGACTGAAAGTGAAAGTCGCATCCTACTCTTTGCGCCCCCACGGACTATACAGTCCAGAGAATTCTCCAGGCCAGAATATTGGAGTGGGTAGCCTTTCCCTTCTCTAGGGGATCTTCCCAACCCAGGGATCGAACCCAGGTCTCCCACAATGCAGGCAGATTCTCTATCAGCTGAGCCACAAGGGAAGCCCAATACTGGAGTGGGTAGCCTATCCCTTCTCCATCGGATCTTTCCGACCCAGGAATCGAATTGGGGTCTCCCACATTGCAGGCAGATTCTTTACCAACTGAGCTATCAGGGAAGCCCTCGACATCAAAAGTCATTACTTTTTTTCCACTTTTCCTATATGGAGAGTACCTCAGTAGAATTTCTGCAGCTGGAACTGATTGTTTTTTATAATCACATTGAATTAAAATGAAATTATGTACAATTTAAAATCTTGAGATTACTCATTGGATCTTTGCACCTATATGTTAGTATAAAGATTTACTTTGCTTTAAAGGAGCAGACTTTATTTTAAATTGCCCTGTTTTAATTTTTAAAACTGAAGCTGACAGTTGTCACTTTAGCCTCAATTTGTAGATAGGAATTTTGTTGTTGTTACCTCTTTTCATAATTGGCCCTTATTTTAAGGTGAAAAAGAGATTATAATTTAGTGATCAAACCTGCCATCCCCTCCCTCCATTCTAGCTTGTACTTCTCAATTCACTTCTTCTAAGAGCCTCCCTTTGTTGGTACCAGGGGAGGTAAATTCAGTTTGAAGGGTCTTATGGTGGGGAACACAGAGCTGGGGGAAGCTGAGTTGATGAGGCACTCTGACTCTCTGCAGTTCCTCTGACAGCTCACACTTTCATTCTGCTCTAGCTGAGGATGAATTGGAGCCTGCCAAGAAAAAAAGGAGAGAACAACTTGCCTACCTGGAATCTGAGGAATTTCAGACAATTCTAAAAGCAAAATCGAGGCACACAGGGATCTTAAAAGAGGTAAGAAAGAGCCCAGAAGGTCACAGGTAACAGAGCTATCCTCTGACTCGGGTGTTCTATCATGGGACCCAGAATTTGTTCCTGTAACCTCAGCTGAGACATTAGTTGTATGTTTGTTTCAATTTATTTTGAAGAACAGGAATATTGCTAATAGATTTTAGCTTTGCCTTTGTTGCTTTGAAGAGTATCATTCACCATTATTTAAATTGACTTTGGCATTAAAGTGTTTCAGTCCATATTTTATAATAACTTTATATTGTATAAAAATATCAAGTTACTATGTTGTACAAGATATCAAAGCAGAGTTGTCCCTCCATAACCATAAGATTTGTCCGGTTGCACTTTAGGAACAGTCAGTGTATATTAAAACCATGCACAAGTATTGTAGGGTTGTATATAAATAAAGCTATTAGGTTCAAAAGTTACAATAGGTTTTCCATCAACGTGGATGGCCTGTAGGACATTCAGAACATCCTTTGATGTATGAGGTACTGTTGGGTGCACTGCAGAAGGTGTAGCGTTTATGGTCCCTGTCAGTAGCCGGGGTAGTGGTCACTGAGATAACAAAAAAAGTGTTGCAGCAGATTTTTTAAATGTCCCTTATTTACTGCCAACATGCCAAATGATCTACCTTTCTTTTGGTTAATAAAGGACTAAGGAGACAATTAAATATTTTTCTACTGGACTCGAGACTTAGGAGAGGAGCTCAAGCAGACCCTGAAAGACTATAGAGCCAAGTTCCCTGGCACTTTATGCCTTGTTCATCTGTGCTGACTTGAACTGTGACCACATTCTGTCATGAATAGCTCTCTGCCCTCACACCTTCTGCACATTGTTCCAGACAAGCAGGGATTGCTCCTGCCGAGTGCTTGGTCTGAAGAATAGAGTCAAACAGATGGGGTGCCATCACTGGGGAGGCATCCAGCACCTCCCATAAACTAGTCTGTGTTGGAACAATGGAAGCAATTCCCTTCTGGGGCACACTTGAGGTCGTGACACTGCTAATCATGTCATTAGTTTGAATTTGTATTTAGTGTCTTACACATCACCAGATGCTTTCATGCCTTCTATTTGTCCATTAAGGGCTTATTTCTACTTACCATTTTTTGGGTTGCAGTTCATTGAGCCATGCGTTCATACAGTTAGCTTGTTTCTTCAGGTCTGATTTGATTATTATTAAACAACTGCCGAGTCTATATCAGATTTAGTTCAAGGTCTTCTGGGTGTCATGTCACTCCAGGCCGAGGCTGAGCTGCAGGAACGCTATTTTGAGCCTCTGGTGAAAAAAGAACAAATGGAAGAAAAGATGAGAAACACCCGGGAAGTAAAATGTCGAGTTGTGACATGCAAGACGGTGAGTGCAGGAGACAGCTCTCCCTATGGCCTGTCTGTGGGCTCTGTAACCTTGCAGGGTGTGGAGACTCGGTGGGGTGTGGGGCCATGTTTTGTGACCACGGCCTAAACCCTGCCTGGGTTTGGGGTCATTTAATCAGGCAGGACCCCAGTGTTATCTCTCCTCCTCAGGTTTTTTTGTTTGTTTTTGGCTGTGCTGGGTCTTCATTGCTATGTGGGCTTTTCTGTAGTTGCAGCCATTGGGAGCACTGCTCTCTAGTTACAGCTTTGGTTTCTCATTACAGTGGCTTCTCTTGTTGCAGAACACAGGCTCTGGGGAGCACGGGATTCAGTAACTGCCGCTTGTGGGCTCTAGAGCACAGGCTCAATAGTTGTGTCACATGGACTTAGTGGCTCTGTGGCATGTGGGATCTTCCTGGCCCAGGGATTGTACCCATCTCTTGCAGGTAGATTCTTTACCACTGAGCCACCAGGGAAGCCACCCTTCTCATTCTCAAGTTTTAACATGTCCTCAATCCTTAGTTCCCAGTCCCTGGGGCCTTCATTGAAAAATTTGACTTGGCATCAGATGTGACCAACCACTTTTGTTCCCTTCTGCTCAGGGCCTAACGTAAATGTCGCCTAGAAAAGTTCTTTCTGTACATGTTTCCTGGCATTCCCATTCCTTTTGAATATACCTGCATGACTAATCAGCATTGTGAGCATGTGTAAGAGGAAGAAGAGGCTTAGCTTACAACTTTCTCTGACTTTACTTTTAAAACCTTAGATTCTCCTTTATATTTGGGGGGCAGCACTGAACCAACTACTCCTTTGAGAAAGTGCAGACCCTTGGGAATCAGTAAAGCCTTTCCCTTAGAGGACAGCTTTTCCTCTGCCAAGATGGCCATATTAGGACATAGCTGGTGTATTCCTTTCCTGTTGCTGCTTAACAAATGACCACCGACTGGGGGCTCAGAACAGCACAGATGTATTATCTAACAGTTCTGTAGGTCAGAATTTTATATGGGTTTTGCTGGGGTGAAATCCAGGTGTCAATAGGGTGCGTTCCTTTCTAGAGCTCTAGGGGAGAATCCATGTCCTTGCCTTTTCCAGCTTCTAGAGCTTGCCTACATACCTTGACTCATAGCCCCTTCCTCCATCATCAGAACCAACAGTAGGAGGTGGGGTCCTCTCAGCTCCAACCTCCTTTCCTCTCTCCCACTCTTGAGGACTCTTGTGAATCCTTTGGGCCCACCTGGACAATCCAGGATAATTTCCCAGTCTTAAAATCAACTGATTAGCAGCCTTCATTCCATCTGCAACCTGAATTCCCCTTTGCCAGTAACATAACATACTTGTGAATTCCAGGGGATAGGGTGTGAGTATCATGAGAGGATTATTTTGCCTAACACAATTGGCATACCACTGTACTCTGCCCTCTTTGAGGCTGCCAAGGCCAAAAGTTGTTCATCTAGACTCAGTGTGATTATCAGAAATTACACAGCACTGTCCTGATTCTGTATCAACCTTCACCTACCATTTCTTGTTCTGTTCAGTCCTTTTAAGGATCAAAATTAAATTACTTAAGCTCTTTCTTGGTTTTACTGCCTGTGAAATAGGAGTAGTAATAAGCTTATAATCCTTTTCAGAGGCCTTGTAAGAGAAAGTGAAAAAGCAGCTCATCATCCTTCCCAAATAGGCTCCATGCCTATAACCTGTAGTCTTATAATCAGGGACTAGAGTGAATACAGGGTAGACCAACTAAAGTGAAGTCGCTCAGTCGTGTCCGACTCTTTGCGACCCCCGTGGACTGTAGCCCACCAGGCTTCTCCATCCATGGGATTCTCCAGGCAAGAATACTGGAGTGGGTTGCCATTTCCTTCTCCAGGGGATCTTCCCAAACCAGGGATTGAACCCAGGTCTCCCGCATTGCAGGCAGACGCTTTAACCTCTGAGCCACCAGGGAAGCCCAACTAAAGCTACTTAGAAATTTCCAGTCCTTTTCTTCTTCTCCCTAGCTATTGTCTTGATGTCACAGAAGATTACTGTGAATTTTACACCTGAAGTTGGGGCAAACATGAGAAAAAATGGTATTAATAGGGGGAATGTTAAGAAATCACAGGGATCACTGCACCTGAAAGATGGTAACTCCACTAGTCACTGCCTGGTAGTGACGAGAGAACAGAAGTTCTGAGGAACAGGGTGCGTTCATGGCAGCTGGCTCCTCTCTCCTTCAGACCTCTTGACAAGATCTTTGTGCTGGTTCTGTGCAGTGTGCCTACACCCACTTCAAGCCTCTGGAGACCTGCGTCAGCGAGCAGCATGACTACCACTGGCATGACGGTGTGAAGAGGTTTTTCAAGTGTCCCTGTGGAAACAGAACCATCTCCCTTGACAGACTCCCCCAGAAGCACTGCAGGTATAAGAATTCCTGGGGTTCTTGGTCCCTAGGCTCCCTGAACCTTTTTGCAATTCCCAGGTAATGCTATTCCCTAGAAACTTCAGACTGTCCTTGACCCCGAGAGAGTCAGCCTTGTTCTGTGCCTTCTTACAGCTCCTGGGTCTCCCCAGCTGCTCCTGAAGGGAAGGGATCCTTCCCCTTTCACAACTGTACCCCCAATACTAAATATAGTGCCTGATACTAGGTTATCAGAAATGTTTGTTGACTAAATGGAACCTGGGTGGTGTGGGTTGTATGATGTTGATTCTTTGGAATTTGAGGCAATTTTGCTATCACAAATTTTAGTCTTCCTGAGAATGTTTCACCAGCATATCCTCACTACTTTTTGTTGTTGTTCACTTATTTCATTTGGGTTGTTGTTTATTTCCTGGAGCCCAAACTTCACTCTCATATCAAGTTTCTCCACAGCTGATTTGGAATGAGGATGGGGGTGGAGGAACCCAAACGCCATTCTGGTTCATCCCCTTGTCAGAGCTGGTTTGTGCATTTTTTTTTTAACAATTGAGATTAGAATTGTTTAAAGTAGTTACTCATATATTGATACTTGATTTCTCTCCAAAATATTGTAAGAGCAAGAGCTTGTGTAAAACAATAGAGTATCAGAGAAATGTGATCATTAAGGATGAGCAGTAAGTGCAACTCAAATGAAAGAATGTGATGCTTTTCAGCCCCCGGGTGGCACTGTTACTTTGTTAAGAATTTGTGCTAATGTAAGACCAGAAACTATAAAACTCCTAGAGGAGAACATAGGCAAAACACTCTCCGACATAAATCACAGCAGGATCCTCTATGACCCACATCCCAGAATTTTAGAAATAAAAGCAAAAATAAACAAATGGGACCTAATGAAACTTAAAAGCTTTTGCACAACAAAGGAAACTATAAGCAAGGTGAAAAGACAGCCCTCAGATTGGGAGAAAATAATAGCAAACGAAGCAACAGACAAAGGATTAATCTCAAAAATATACAAGCAACTCCTCCAGCTCAACTCCAGAAAAATAAATGACCCAATCAAAAAATGGGCCAAAGAACTGAACAGACATTTCTCCAAGGAAGACATACAGATGGCTAACAAACACATGAAAAGATGCTCAACATCACTCATTATCAGAGAAATGCAAATCAAAACCACAATGAGGTACCATTACACACCAGTCAGGATGGCTGCTATCCAAAAGTCTACAAGCAATAAATGCTGGAGAGGGTGTGGAGAAAAGGGAACCCTCTTACACTGTTGGTGGGAATGCAAATTAGTACAGCCACTATGGAAAACAGTGTGGAGATTTCTTAAAAAGCTGGAAATAGAACTGCCATATGACCCAGCAATCCCACTTCAGGGCATACACACCGAGGAAACCAGATTTGAAAGAGACACGTGCACCCCAATGTTCATCGCAACACTGTTTATAATAGCCAGGACATGGAAGTAACCTAGATGCCCATCAGCAGACGAATGGATGAGGAAGCTGTGGTACATATACACCATGGAATATTACTCAGCCATTAAAAAGAATTCATTTGAATCAGTTCTAATGAGATGGATGAAACTGGAGCCCATTATACAGAGCGAAGTAAGCCAGAAAGATAAAGACCATTACAGTATACTAACACATATATATGGAATTTAGAAAGATGGTAACGATAACCCTATATGCAAAACAGAAAAAGAGACTCCGATGTATAGAACAGACTTGTGGACTCTGGGAGAAGGCGAGGGTGGGATGTTTCAAGAGAACAGCATCGAAACACGTATATTATCTAGGGTGAAACAGATCACCAGCCCAGGTTGGGTGCGTGAGACAAGTGCTCGGGCCTGGTGCACTGGGAAGACCCAGAGGGATTGGGTGGAGAGGGAGGTGGGAGGGGGGACCGGGATGGGGAATACATGTAAATCCATGGCTAATTCATTTCAATGTATGACAAAAACCACTGCAATGATGTAAAGTAATTAGCCTCCAACTAATAAAAATAAATGAAAAAAATAAAAAAAAAATAAGGGCACCAAAAAAAAAAAAAAAAAGAATTTGTGCTTTCTCTGGTCTCTCTCTTGTCAATTCTTGATCTAGAGCAGAAATGGGCAAACTTTTTCTGTAAAAGGCTAAATGGTAATTATATTAGGCTTTGCCAGCCCTGTGGTCTGTTTCACCACTGCTCAAACATGTTGTTGTGCCAGTCATAGGTAATACTCATATAGACATGGCTGTGTTCAAAAAAATTCATGAAAACTGTGGCAGGCTGGAGTTGGCCCACATGTTATAATTGTCTGACAGTGAGCTGTGTGTAGTATCATCATTGATCTGGTAGTACGCTGTGAAAGTTCTCTCAATAGATACTGAGCAGGTCTGTAGCTGGGGAAGGTGATGGAGAGGCTCCGGGTTAAGTCCTTTGCAGCTGATGCTCAGAGTGGTGTCTAAGGAAGATGGGGAGAAAGGATGAGCCTGTGGGGTGGCCCTATGCCCAAGACCCTCTCAGATCCAAGGCACCTGGGAGCCACAGTCCCATGACTTCACTGTATTTCATTTGTTTCTCTCTCCTCAGTGTAAAATTGCTAGAAAATAAGCTTTCCCCGTAGTATCCCCCTGACTTCTCAGGGTTGGACTCAACTACCATGGTAAACAATGAGAATGAATCTCTAGGCCCTTTGACTAAAGAGAGTGAAAAATCTGTGGACCAGGAAAAGATTTTCTTCCTGTTGTGTTGCTTTGGCCCCAAACTAAACAGTGACCTTTCAGTGGAAAAATCAAGATATCACTGTCTTCCCTGTTCTTACTACTGAAAACCGGGAAGCATTGTTCAAACCCGAAGGAAGAGTAGTCCTCTCTTACCACAACTGTTGAGTTCCAGAAAAGGAGAAAGGAACAAGCCATGGGCTTCTTGTTGCTGTAGGCTGGCTTTCTCAATCTGAGGGTCATCCCAGTGACCTTCACTGGAAACCAAGCTTACTCTCCTCACCTGTAGAGTGCATAGCCCTATGCAGCCCTACCATTTGAAATTCCTTTTCTGAAGTATCTGGCTTTTGACAGACTTCAAACCATTGCTCAGATCACTGGTGTGTGTATTTTCAGTAGCAGTAGAATGTAAACTGGAATATGAACCTTACCTTAGTGAGCTTTGGCTTAAATGAGGTGGATCTCAAAAGTCAAGGAGCACTGTTATCTTCATGTGTGTGGACCTGTAACCTCATCACTGAGTCAATCCCATCTTTTCTGTTTTAGTAACTGTGGCCTCTTCAAATGGGAACGGGACGGAATGTTAAAGGTATGTCATCTGTAAGGTGATAGATTTTAGTGACCCATGCAAATACTGTTGACCCATTTCTTATTAAAAAAAATAAATAAATAAATAAATAAAATAAAGAATGAATAATAATCCAAAAATAAATAAATAAATAAACTGTTTCTGTTTTTCTAGGAAAATACAGGTCCAAAGATAGGAGGAGAAACCTTGTTACCAAGAGGAGAAGAACATGCCAAATTTCTGAATAGCCTTAAATAGCCCTGACCTCAAACAGGTATCTACAGCTCACATTGCCTCTTATGGTTCTGGAAAAGCATTAAGTTTTGTCTCTGAATTGCCCATGTTCCCAACTGACACAGTCGAATACTGTTAAGCCTACAACTTTGCATTGGTTTAACATCAAATTTAACATGACCTTTAAGTGGAAAATCAAGATACCAAAAGGTAGATAAAGAGTTGTGTTTCTCTGTCTCTTGGGTTATAGAGTATGTGATGTCACTTCTTAATCAGAGTAAGGTTCTGGTATTTATGTGGACAGCCAGAGGCAAAAGAAGGAATTTGGCTCAGGTAACCTGCCTAACTTCTGTGCTTCAGTTTCCTCGTCTGTAAAATGAGGAAGGTTGGACTAAATGATCTTGAAATGTGCTCTCAAAACTCTAAATATAACATTTTGCCATTTAGAAAATTATGACCATCACCCTTGATATAGTCTCACTATATTAATATTAAAACCCAGGTTCCTCCTGTTGATTCTGCTGTTACCTCCACTTTGTTCTCTGAAATCAAGTCACTGACCCACGTGGCATTTCAGTTCATGTCTAAATGGCTCTTTGTGCCCTTAGATTATTGTGGAGCTCTGTGATGGAAATACCTAAAATTTCATCATTTTAAAATATGGTTGTGTTTAAATATGGCTTAAAGAAACTGAAACCTCTAACCAAAACAACTGTAAAACTAGAGAAACCATGAAGCCCATTTGGAAAACAGAAACATCCCATAAGGAGAATTCTGTGGAGTTTCCGATGTGCAGATATTGCTTATTAGACACACTAAGAATTTTAGATCAGGGATTGCTGGGACTTGTGGTTTTGCTCAAGTCTGGGCCCTTCAGCTCAGTAGTTCTGGGATTGTGGCTGAGGTGCCCATCCTCAGTTTCCCCATCAGCAGAATAAAGGTGATGATGTCTTGCTGGCATGGACTCTTGTGAGATAGTGCATGTGTGCCAGAGCACAGTAGGTGTGACTTTCATCATTAATGAGAGATGGAGCTTCCCAAGTAAGAGCACAGAGACCTGAGATGTTATGGGCACCTGGACAGAAGGGTGATGATGGAGGTAGACAGTGGTGGATGGCCTCAAAGGAACAGACAGATTGTGCTGGAGAGGGAGTCCAGGGTCATGCTCTGGGTTAGGTAACTAACTGCATGGATGTTGAGAGGAAACTCTGAAGGGTGGGAGGTAGATAGCCCAGACATTCAGATGCACCAGGCTCCCCACCCAGGGAAGATCAAGGTGGTGACAGGACGCAACTCTGGGGCACCTTAGCCCCCAGGGCAAGACCTATACAGTCTGAGGTTGCAAAGGGCACATGGGACTGGGGACTATGAAGTGAAGGTCGCTCAGTCGTGTCCGAGTCTTTGTGACCCCATGGACTATACAGTCCATGGTATTCTCCAGGCCAGGATACTGGAGTGGGTAGCCTTTCCCTTCTCCAGGGGATCTTCCCAACCCAGGGATCAAACCCAGGTCTCCTGTATTGCAGGCAGATTCTTTACCAACTGAGCCACAAGGGAAGCCCAAGAATACTGGAGTGGGTAGCCTATCCCTTCTCCAGCAGATCCTCTCGACCCAGGAATCAAACCGGGGTTTCCTGCATTGCAGGCAGATTCTTTAGCAACTGAGCTATGAGGGAAGTCCAAGGTGGACTGTAACACATTGTATACAAACATTAGGTGCTCAGTAAGCTTCTAAAGAAACAGCAGTTTTAAGAGCACCGAAGGCTGGAAGAATGAGGTCAGCACTCCCGGTAAGCAGGATGGGATTTCATTGGGTCACTTCCGTCTTGCCCTGCACCCAGCTCAGAGGGGCCCATACGTCTTAGGTCTCTGCCCTGAACCAGCCCAGGTTTTGGTGTCACCAGCAGGAATTAAGGTATATGACTCTGGCAGGGTCGCAAGCAGAAAAATAGATGGGGAGGTGAGTGTTACTCATCGAAGATCATTTCCAGGTCAGTCTTCAAACACAGATAAAAATGTTGAGGACTGGCTTTCAGAGCAAAGCAAAGGGTTGAGTGGCAGCATATGAGGGTTTCCGTGAACCAAAAGCGGCTGAGGTCCTAATCATTTAAGCTAGATCATGGGTACATGGAGACTGGTGCTCATGTCTGTATTGTCATATGTGTTGTAAGATATCATGATGAAGGGTAAAAACAAGCAACCCCAGTTTTTTTTCTCTGTGATACCTACCCATTATCCCTGGGGGCAGTTATTGTTCCTTCCTCCAGTCTAGTGCTATATTTTGAGCATTGCTGAGCATTGTAGTGGGTTTGTTTATCCACAATATATTATATCATATGATATAAATATCATATATTTATCTACAAATATACAAGCTGCTAGCTTGTATATTTTAGTGTGGTTCAATTTCCAGGTGCCAAGCCCAGTGCTACCCTACTGGTGTTCATTGAATGTTGGGTGGATGGAGAGATTTTAAAAATTGTGAATACAAGGAAGTTAATAAATGTTTTCTGAATTGTTCAATGCTGTAAAAGTGCTGCACTCAATATGCCAACAAATCTGGAGAACTCAAGCAGTGGCCACAGGACTGGAAGAGGTCAGTTTCTGTTCCAGTCTCAAAGAAAGACAATTCCAAAGTATGCTAAAACTATCACACAATTGCACTCATCTCACACGCTAGCAAAGTAATGCTCAAAATTCTGAAGCCAGGCTTTAACAGTACATGAACCATGAACTTCCAGATGTTCAAGCTGGATTTAGAAAAGGCAGAGGAAACAGAAATCAAATTGCCAACATCTGCTGGATCATCGAATAAGCAAGAGAGTTCCAAAAAAACATCTACTTTTGCTTTATTGACTATGCCAAACCCTTTGACTGTGTGGATCACAGAAACCTGTGGGAAATTAAAGAGATAGGAATACCAGGCCACCTGACCTGCCTCCTGAGAAATCTGTATGCAGGTCAAGAAGCAACAGTCAGAACTGGAGGTGGAACAACAAACTGTTTCCAAATAGGGAAAGGAGTACATCAAGGCTGTATATTGTTACCCTGCTTATTTAACTTATATGCAGAGTACATCATGTAAAATGCTGGGCTGGATGAAGCACAAGCTGGACTCAAGATTGACAGGAGAAATATCAATAAACTCAGATACACAGATGATACCGCCCTTATGGCAGAAAGTGAAGAAGAACTAAAGAGCCTCTTGATGAAAGTGAAAGGGCAGAGTGAAAAAGTTGGCTTAAAGCTCAGCATTCAGAAAACTTAAGATCATGGCATCCAGTCCCATCACTTCATGGCATATAGATGGGGAAACAATGGAAGTAGTGACAGACTTTATTTTTGGGGGGTTCCAAAATCACTGCAGATGGTGACTGCAGCCATGAAATTAAAAGACGACTGCTCCTTGGAAGAAAAGCTGTGACCACCCTAGACAGTGGATTAAAAAGTAGAGACGTGGGAGGGGGGATCGGGATGGGGAATACATGTATATCCATGGCTAATTCATGTCAATGTATGACAAAAACCACTACAATATTGTAATTAGCCTCCAAAAGTAAAGACGTTACAAAGTTCCATCTAGTCAAGGCTATGGTTTTTCCAGTAGTCATGTGTGGATGTGAGAGTTGGACTATAAAGAAAGCTGAGTGCCGAAGAATTGGTGCTTTTGAACTGTGGTGTTGGAGAAGACTCTTGAGAGTCCCTTGGACAGCAAGGAGAGCCAACCAGTCCATCCTAAAGGAAATCAGTCCTGAATATTCATTGGAAGGACTGATGCTGAAGCTCCAATACTTTGACCACCTGATGCAAAGAACCAACTCATTGGAAAAGACCTTGATGCTGGGAAAGATTGAAGGCGGGAGGAGAAGGGGACGACAGAGGATGAGATGGTTGGGCAGCGTCACTAACACGATGGACATGAGTTTGAGTAGGCTCTGAAAGTTGGTGATGGACAGGGAAGCCTGGCGTGCTGTGGTCCATGGGATCACAAAGAGTCAGACTCTACTGAGCCACTGAACTGAACCGATAGGTCAAGCATGTGGGCTACTCCATTTAGGAGAGTCCTCTGCTTGGGCAACCTGAGTTTCCAAACACCATTTGACCCAAGTGAATACTGTGAAACGATTGAGTCAGTTGGTAGGATTATTATTTTGAGATTTAAACTCTAGCTAGAAATAATACATATTTCTCCCAGGATGGTATTATAGTAGGAACATAACTCTTAAAAGGACGTGGTTGTGGGAGATAGTTGATTCAGGTTTTCAAGAGCCAGGAATAAATTTCACATGCCTTAGATTCCATCAGAGTCTGCTCTGTGTGTAGAAGTTTCTCTGTCTGAGGCTTGTGTTCCCTTATGGTCACACACTTAGGAATATTTCACTTTCCAGGAGGAATGTATTTTTGTTTTGTTTTGTTTTTTAAACAGAGAAAATGTTTAAATCTCAAAAATAACTAAAAACACTTGAAATTCTCATATTTTTGATTGCTCATTTCAAGTAGATATGTTTGTCCCATAAACTTAAAACAGGTATGGGTCTGAAGTAGGTCACACCTGAGCAGCCACCTGGACACTGAGCTGCAGGTTGCTCTTTGAAGACCCCTTCCTGTATAAGAAACATGTTCTTGTTTGAAACAAGGGTGTTGTGAATGCAGTAACATTCTTATAAAGGTGGATGGGTGTGCTGAATGTAGATGCCCCTGTTTTTAAATTTGACTTTTAAATTTTGAATAATTAAAAATATAATCGAGTTACTTCTCAGTTACTCTAGGTTTTGGGGGGCTTCCACTGGGGATGCTGTTTGTGTGTGTTTTGTTAGACTTCAGGGATGAGAGGGGTAGGTGGGCTGGAGGGGCTGCATACTCATTTGCATTAAAACTATGGTTCATCACAAGGCCATTCTTTAATCCTCCTACCCTTTTTACCAGTGTGTGTTAATAGCAGTGTAGGGGGAAAAAAAAGGCAGTGTAGGGCTTATTGTATAATCAGAACAGGGAAAGCACATGGTGATCTAAGCACACAAAAA